TTTTTTTTTTATATATATATTAAATATTTTTTATATTATTTATATTTTTTATTTATTAAATTTATTAATTATTTTTATTAATTTTTTTTTTTTTTAAATATTATTAATTATTTATTATTAATTATATATTTTTTATTATTTATTATATATTTTTTATTATTTATTATTTATTATTTATTATTTATTATTTATTAAATTTATATTATAACTAAATTTTATATAATTTAATAAGTATTTTATTAAATTAAATTTTAGTATATTATTTAATAAATTAATGTAATGCATATTTTTAAGATTAATAATTTATTTTGATTAATTATATAATGTCAATTCTTATATATTATATGTTATAAATCAATTTCCTATTTTTATTTTTTTTTAAAAAATAAGTTAATATTAATTAATTTTTTTTTAATATTTAATTCTAAAATTCCTCTTATATTTTTTAAAAAAAATTAAATAATTTTTGATATAATTCAAATAAAACAATGAACTAAATTATTTAATGTTCATAATTATATTTAATAAATCTATTTCATAAAAAATAAATAATATATAAATTACATAATAATTTTTATTACTATAAAAAATTTAAAAAAAATATAATGACATAATCGACAAAAAATTAAATAAAATAAACTTAAGTATACTTAAGGGCCATAATAGCTTGTCTAGGAGGGCATTTTTTCGGTCTAAACAATACTCTACTTAATTCATCACAAGAACATATATGTTTTTTAAATTAATGGTTATCTAAATATGACATAGCACTTTATACAAGTTTAATAGCCGCATTATATCCTCTAGGATGTATATTAGGAGCTATTTATACGACATAATTTCTACGAATACTTTAGAATAGTTATAGAAAATCTTTATTAATAATAGATTTAATAGGCATAATTGGAACAATATAAATAACGATGAATTCTTCTTTATAAAATATAATGTTAGGAAGATTTATTTCCGGAATAGCAGTAGGCTTAAATTGTGCAATAATACCTTTATATGTAAAAATATACACGCCGTAAGCCATAAGAGGTTAAACAGGTACTTTGTTTCAATCTTTGTAAACTTTTGGCATGTTTATAGGACTTATATTGAAATCCATAATGCCTATATACCCGAAAATAACAGAAAAAGATATATAATTATATTAAGAAACTATGAATTCATAAACATATTTTGAATACTATTTTTCCTGGAGAATCGTAATGGGATTTCCTTTAATTTGTTGTTTAATAAGGTTATATTTTATGTTATATATTTTCACAGAAGAAACTCCGCAAAAGCTTGTATCTTAAAGAAAATTTAAATCTTTGAAAAAATTTTGTTAGAGAATTTACACTAGTGATGTTGTGAAGTAAGAATATAATAATTATATTATATAAAATTAAGTAAATAATGATGAAATTAATACTGATTCAGAAAGCGAAGATGAAGAATATTAATAAGAAAATTAAAAATAAGATAAAATAGTAGAAAATAACGAATAATTATAATATACTGAAGAAAAAGAAAAAAATAAACTAAAAAATTTTATTTAAGAAGAAGAAGAATTAAAATAACCTCATATTTATCCATAAATAAATAATAAAGATGGATTGCATTAATAAATAGAATTAACATAACAAGAAACATAAATAGATGAAAAAACAATAGAAAGAAGTCGCAGAAGAAGAATGTATTTGGGAATAATAGTCTAAATTTCATCATAAATAAACGGTTTGAATGGTGTCATGACTTTTTCATCTGCTGTATATAAAGAAAATACTGATTCCAATTCAATAGTTTTATTATATTAAGCTATGTAAGGTTTATCTATTTTCTTATTTACTTTATCCAGTATATTTGTTATAGATAGATTTGGAAGAAAAAAAGTACTTATGATTTCTGCTTTATCGACTTCTATTTCTCTTCTTTTTGTCGCTTTATTTGCTTATTTGGATATTTTTTATTTGTCTTTTATTTGCATAATTGTATATTTGGGATGTTAAGGATTTGGCTTAGGAGGTGTTGTTATGCCTTATTCCGCAGAACTTGTAGATAAAAATGATATGAGTACTTGCATTGGATGGAGATGGCTGTCTTATGGATTAATCGTTTTGACTTTCTAATTTAAAATTCTTATTTTCTAATTTTATGGAACTTTTATCATTTTTTCAGTTCTAACATTTTTATGTTTTGTTTATTTCGTTATTCATATGAAAGAAACTAAAGGACTTTCAACTTAATAAATTCATAGATTATATTATTGAATATTTAGTATTTATTAATGTAATAATTTTTTTATAATATTTATACAATAAAAAGTTTTTTTTTTTTTTTTTTTTTATTAAAAAAAAAAAAATTATTAACAAAATGAAAAAAAATTATTTTAATAAATAATATACACATTTATTTAGTTAAATTTATAATGTACATAAATATATTTTATAAATTTTATTTTAAAATGTTTAATATTAAGTTTAAAGTATAAATAATAAATATATTATTAATAATACTAAATCTAAAATTGCAATTAATATAGCATTTAAATTAATAAAATAATAATAATAATAATAAAAAAATCAATTATAATATAAAAATAAAATACCTAAAATTAATTTATATTAAATATATGTTTATTATATATAAATTATATTAATATTAAATTCATTAAACTTAATAATTTGTTTATTTCAAATGTTATTTTAATTTCCATTATTACTTTAGTTATTCTAAGTATTTTAAACTGTTATTTCACCGACTTAATTACTTTAAGAAATAAGACCTTTCATAGTATCCATTTCATCTTTTAATTCTTTTATTTTTAAAGAATAATCATCTATAGCGCTATTTGTTTTTACATATTCATCCTATTTAAATAAATATTAGTATAATATTAAAAATATATATTTATACTTATAATGCAGCTTTTTCAGCAGTAATATTTTCTAATTTATCGGAATATTATTTAGCTATTTATTATAATTAAATTCTTTCTTTAACTAATTCTTCTAAATTAAGAGAATTTTTAATCATTTCACTTTCATAAATATCTTTTTCTCTTTTTATTTTTTTCTTTAAAGTTCTTAATTAATTTAACTCTTCAATTTCTTTTGAAGATTTATCGCTTTCTTCTTTATTTGATTTTTTGGTGTTTTCGTATTAATTTTTCAAATTCTCTTCTTATATTTCCTATTCTTTACGTATTTAAGAAATTTAAAAATACTCTTTTTCTAATTTTATTGCTTCTCTTTTTAGTTATTCACATTGATTTTTCGTTGCTTCATATAAGTTTTTAGCTTTTAATATTTTTGCGGTAAATTCTTATAATACTTTTTCGCTCATTTGTTTAATAAAATTAATTTATATTAAATTTTATATAATACTTATTATATTTTATTATTTTTTAAATTTTTTCTGTTAATAATAAAGAATAACTTATATTTTATAAAATAATATATATAATTATATATTTTTAGTTAGTGTTTCAATTAAAACAATATTATAATTGGTAAATTCAATATTTATACATATTCGACTTATTTTTTATATTCTTCAAAAAAATAAAAATAATGTATTAATGCATTAATATACAAAAATATTATTCATATAATAACAAAAAAAATGATAAATAAATTATTTAATAAAAAAAACATTTAATATATATAAAATAAAAGTTATCATATTTTTTAATTTTTACATTAGAATTATTATATAAATTTCTATAATTCTAGATATTTTAATCAATTAAAACAATAATAACAAATAACATTAAAAATAAAAAAATATTTTATATTATTTGAAGTTATATAAATAATATAAATAAAAAATAATATTTATTAATAAAAATAAATTATCATAATGATTAAAATACATAAAAATATATGTATTATATTTATTTATATATATTTAATATATATTTAAATTTATATAAATATATATATTATTATTATTATTATTTTCTATTTTATATTCATACAAATAAAAATAAAAAAATATTAATTTATTTTTATTAAAATTATATCAATTCTTATTAAAATATGTATCATCTATATTTTTATTTTTTCTTATAAAATAAAAATATTTTCTTTTGGATACTTTTATATTGACTTGCAATATTCATTCATAAATAATAACTTTTTATATGAATAAATTAGTTATTTAATTATATTTATATAAATAAAAATATTATATTTAATACTCTTTTAAAAATAAATATAAAAAATTAAAATAATTTATATCTTCTCTTTACAAACTTTAAAATATATATTTATAAATAAAAAAATATTATTTTTAATAACTCTAATCATGAATATTTTACATGGCTTTGAAAATGTTAAAGTTGTTATGTATTTAAGAAAAAATTTAATTAAATTTTTATAAATAAAATATTTTTAGTAAATGAAGTAACTAATAAAAAAAATCTTATATTTTAAATAATTAAAAAGATTTGAATGAAATAATTAAATATATTAAAATAACGAATGAATCATAAATAGTAGATTAGATGTGTTTGTATAATTTTTTTTTTCTAAAATGATAAAATTTATATTATTAATTTTTAAAAATAGAATAATATAAAATCAATTTAATTTGTTTTTTGTAATAAATAAATTGAGATTTAATTGAGAATTTAATATAAAAATGATTTAGATGACTGAAATACAAATAATTTTTTTTTCAAAAAATAAAATATTGATTTGTGATATTGAGTTAGCTAGATAAAATAAATTTATTGTTTTGAATTTTTGAATGTATATTTTTTTTATATTTTATTATTTTTCAAGATAAAAATTTAAAATAAAGTAGTAAAATTTGCTAATTTTATTAATTTTTAGATTTTAAACTTTAATAGGCTAATTATATTAATCAAAATAATATTGTCTTAAAGATAATATAACTATTTTATCTGTAAACTTACTTAATAAATGAAATATTATTTTTTTATCATTAATACATAAATTATTTGGTTTACTATATATATTTATATATAAAAAAAGAAAACATTTTATTTACAAAATAATAATTATTTTTAATTACTAATTTATAAATATTTAATATATCGTTAAATTATTATATATTTTTTTACATATGTTTCTCCTTTAAATATTTAAACTTATATTTTTTTTTTTATAATTAATGATTTTTAATTATTTTTTTAAATAAAATAATATTTGACATTTAAATAAGTTATATATTTTTATTTTACAAATAATTATTTTAATTCTTTTTTTTTTTTAAAAAAAAAATACAAAATAAAAACAATATAGATATATTTTATTTTAAATAAATGACTACATTTAGTGAAGAATTAGAAATAAATAATTTATTAAATGAAGCCTGTTTTTACCGCAATCGTTAAGAAGAAGACGATTCATTTATTGAGAAAAGCATAAACTGTATAAAATTAGCAGATTCTAAAATAAAGAGTAACATTCGTGAATCATTTATAAATTTATCATATGACACAATAATAAATTTTTGTGAAATTGCTTTAACAATTCCAAATCAAGAAATTCTTTCTGAATACTACATCGACTTATTTTTTTAAAGAAATAAATCTAAAGGATAAATGTGCATTCGTGCCCTTTTAGTAAAAGCACGCTTAATAGCATTAAACGGTCACAAAATTTATTTAAAAGGCGAAGAAATGGTTCAAAATATACAAAAAGCGCTTTCTTATACAAATGAAGCTCTTGAAATAATAAAAAATAGTGATAAAACCAAATACTCATTTTTAATATACAATGTTTCTGTTTGTATATATAACATAATAAGATTTTTAATAAAAAAAAATTGGTCCAAATATTTTTCAGAAATCATCAAAACATTAGATACTTTATTTGACGAAGTAGACGAGCCTGATTATAATTGGCGCTGTAGGTAAAAAATAAATATATAATTATTTTATATATATATATTATCTATTTTTTATAAAAAAAGATATACATGGTTACTTTTCTAATGTTTATATGACGCTGATAATAAAGCTGATGCCTTAAAAGTATTAGATAAATTATGGGAAAATACTAAAAAAAAGGGTCCTTGTAATTTTTAAGAATCCTTATTTAGACTAAGAGTACATTTATGTAAAGAGAATGCTGCGCTAGTAAATAATATAAAAAAAGATGTAGAAACCGGACCTCCGAAAGCCGGCGAAGAAGATAAAGGCTGGCGTTTTATTTTAACTTTATAAATGTTAAAAAGTGGGGTAATTCCAGAAGCATAAGTTGAAAAAGAACTTGTAACTCTAATTTAATAATTAAGTGTGCAAGTATTAAATCTTAATGAAGGTTAATAGAGTTAAAAATTATCTCCTATGATATTGGAAAGAATAGCCGAAAGTGGAAGAATAGCTTTGTAATACAATTTATTAGAATTGGCAGGAAACATAGTATCATTTTTATCAAAATAGCGATAGCCATAATAAAAACAATATGTCCTACAAGAATTAAATAAGGCTGAACTTTTAGTAAAAAAGCCTGGAAATTTAATCGACAAAAAAAGTGGAATGAAACTAAATATTGTATAATTAAAAATGTAATAAATAGAACGAAGAATCAATGCTTTAAGAATGGTCGAAAAGGCAATGCACGCAATAGAAAATAAAAACACAAAAACATTAGACCCTGATCTAGTTTACGAATGCGCAGTTTTAATCTGGAATCTAGGTATGCCTTTTTTAAATGATAATTAAAGAAAATAAGTACATAAGGCATTCTAAACTGCATGTTATTATTTGGAAAAAATACAAAGCAATGATCATTAATTGAGAGTTTAATTTCATTTAGAATTAGCAAAATGTGAATTGGCTGAAAACGGAATTTTCCAAGCCAGTGAGCATATAAAATAAGCTTGTACACTAGATTATTCTATTCCAAGTGTTAATGTTAAAAACACAAATAAAATAGATGATGAGGAAGATATAGGATTATATTAGAGACCTCTTGAGAGATATATAAAGAATTTAAGAGATAGTATTAATTTGAAATAAAATTCAAATGCAGATCCCCAAAACGTCATTGAAAGGGTAATTTTGGACCTCGAAAGTGCTTAAAATTCTAAAAAAGAAAGTATGAAAATAGACATTTTGTAAAAAAGCCTTAATAATTTAATTCGTTTAAAAGAACCAGAATATTAATTAAACCCAAAAAAAGATTTAGTAGAGGAAGAAATACTAAAAGAGAAAATAAAATACAAATAAAATAATCTTTATAATTATAAATAAAAAAAACTACTAGTAGCTGAAATTGCATCTTTAGCTTTTGAATGGGAATAAGATGAAATCAGCTAAAAGGCCTGTTCTTTTGTAATCGAAGATAGTTGGGAAACTAAAAATGCTGAAGAAATGATAGTGGCATAAATTGAGTGCTATTATATTTTAGGATAAATATATATAGATAAAATCGAATAAGAAAATATTCAAGTTCCGTTTGTGGATTTGGTAAAATTCGATGAGGAAGAATGTGAAACTGAGGAAATAACAAATATGAAAAATTCTGAAGAATATAAAAACAAGCTATTAAGTGAGAAGAGAAAAATAATTGAATACTTCCTAAAAGGAATGAAATTGGCAGAGTCAATTAACTAAAGTTGGCTTGTATTTAATTGCGGTATTTATATATGGAATAACTTCCTCCAAGTCTTCAAAAATCCCCAAAATGATAGTAAATTACTTCCTGAACTTGTAAATTTACTAAAGGAAATAATCGAAAGTATGAAAAACATGTTAAAAGAAATCGAAAGAAAATAAATAATTGATTACGATAAAGATAGCAAAATTTCTATATTATCTGATATTGTAATAAAATATGCCAAAATAATGGAATAGAAGTCTAGTTTTGACGAAGTAGCTAGAGTTTCTGATATTTTATTAACTTTTCCTTTACCTTCTCATATTAAAAAACTTGTAAACTCAATCAAAGCAAGAACTTTAGGCTTAGCCAAAACTGGAGGAGCACCAGCTTAATAAAAAGCAACAGATAAAAAAGGAGCCAAAAATGCACCTAATAATGCACAATAATAAGAAACTGGATTATCTTTAGAAGTTGTTTTGAATGAAATTGTTTAATAAATAGAAATTGTTACAAACGCTTAAAAAGGTCCATAAAATTAAGAATTAATAAAAAAAATATTCGAGAGTTTAAAATAATGGAATGTAAAGGAAAACGATGAAACTGAATTAGAATTACATGCAGAACTTTGGACTAGATTAGCCAGATTAGCCTTAAATGAAGAAAATGTACTCATGTACAAATACTCATTAAAATGTATCCAGAACTGTTTATAAATAATTAAAGATAATGCAGATATAAGTAATATCCCATCAAACAGATTACGCTGGTACTCCTTAGCTGAATACATATATGCTGATAACCTTATGAGATTAGTAAATCCGGAATCCTAAGAGCCTTAAAGTTAAGAATAATTATATTTTAATGTTCTTTAACATGCTGTAGAGGGTGTAAATAAAGGCTATAAAGCAAATATGAACTCTCTAGTATTAGATAATGCTAAAATGGCTTGGAATGCATGCTGTAAATTACAAGATTCAGCGATAAATAGAAAGGCGATGTTAAAGAACATTTTTTCGACGATTTTTTACTTGAAAAATTTCAAAGAAAAATCAGAACCGGATTTAATTATTTTATTTTCACAGCTTTTATTCAAAAGTGCTTTGGAAAATGAAGAATTTAAATTAGGAGAAAGCGTTGCAGATATGGTTTTTGAGTTAATTCCCAAAAATATGCAAAAACCTATTTGGGAAGCAAAAATGATTTTTATGAGTAAGCAAGGAAAAAATGAACTCTAGGCAATTTCTAATATGAAAGAAGCAGATGCATCTTTACAGGCAAAAGTTTGGATTAGATTAGCGAGAAATTCAAATATTTTATTTAAATAATTTCAAGCATATACTAAAGCAGTAGAAATATTGAAAAAAGAAAATTCTGTAGAAATCGTTGAAGTCTATATTGAATTTGCTGAATGGTATTTAAGAAATTAAAATTAAGATAGAAGTTAAATTGTTAACTAGTTATTTACTGCCGCAGATACTCTTATTAACATAGAAATAGACGAAGAAGATGAAGATGATGATGAAGAGGATGAAAACGGGCATAATAAAGCCGGAAATTCGACCATATTTTCACGATCTACACGCGGTAAGAAGTCTGTAGTATCTAAAAATTCTAAAAAAAGTATAAAAGTAAGCCAAAAAGCACCTTCTAGAAATATACAAGGGTCCATAAATAGGCCGTCTAATAAAAGTGTGAAATCACGTATGACAATGAAAAGTTCCTCTCGAAAATAATAGAATCGGCCAAAACCTACGAAAAGTATATTCACAGTTAGAGAAGAAGATGCAAATCCTGAATATTTAAATTGCGCACATTTCGAAAGATTAATGAGAATTCATGCTATGTTAGCTATGGTAAGCTAAAATCATGATGAATAAATCCAATTTTGTTTAGACGCAAAACTTTTTTTGATTAAAATTGTAGATTTATCATTCAAAACTTTAAATTAAATTGATGAATAAGCTTTTATCAATAATAATACTTAATAATAGTAAAATTAAACTGCAGCTGGTTAATAAAATATTAAACCAAAAGGCGGAAAAGGAAATGATTAATAGTAATAATAAGATAATATTAATTAATAATAATAATAACAGTTTGTGGGAAAATATGTACTTCCGGAAACTATTGAAGAATGGATTAAATTAAGCTTTTCAAAAGAATTTTTAGAAAAAGTAAAGAATGGGGAAGATTATAATATAATGTGCAAATTTTTATTCGAAAAAGCCGAAATTACTTACACTTATATAATTTATATTTTAAAATTTTTAGAAAATGCCGGTTTACATACTCATTGCGTAAGTTTATTAGTATTTTTGAGATTTTTTACGAAAGAAATTCTAAACAATAATTATTTAAGTATTTTGGCAGAAATTAAATTCTCTAAAATTTTATATTAATTAGGCTATAATTAAGAAGCTGAGTAAATATTTCAGAATATAAAAATTTAAAAGCTTTCTGAATAAGAAAGAAAATAGTATTTATAAAAAACCTAATCATCAAGAATTGTAATAAATAAAAATCCATAAATATAAACATAAGAACAACTAGAAGAAATAAAAAAACCCTTTTTAATAACGTAAATTCCTATCTATGAAGCCTGGCTTTAATTAGCAAAGGAACTTTACTACTTTGGAGAACTTTTAAAAGCAAAAGATTTCCTCTAAGAAGCTTTAAAGCATGCCTAAATATTAGAGGAAAGCAGAATTTTGGGAGAAATATATACTTATTTAGCTTCCATATATTATTTAGAAGGAGAATATGTACTTTCTTTATAAACACATATGCAAGCTCATCATTTTATTAATGATGTTTTTTTATGGTAAATTTCGGTAAATGAAACTTGCAAAACATTAAAAAAATTGAACAAATTTGAAGACATTAAAAATTTCTTGAACCACTTAATTAATTTATACAAAGGTTCTTTAGAAATGCCTTAAAATAGTTGCAATTTGATTAATATATGTGAATTATTAGGAACTTTATATCTCTAATAATTCAAAGTGCACCTCAAAGAATTAAAAAAGGAATATTCAGTAGATTTACTTAAAAAAAACTTCGAATATTTGACTAATGCTAGATCTTTTTTCAAAAAATCCACAGGAATAAATATATAATAACATCAATAACTATTAAGTATTTTAAATAAACTTGTAGTCTATTGTGAATAATTGAATCTTTCTGACATTTAAAGTGTAAATGCTTGTTCTAGAATAATAGTGAAAGTCCAATAAGTACTAATCGAGATGGACGAATATATAAAAAACGTTTTAAAATATTCTCTTTTATTAGATAAGGAATCAGAATGTTAAAAATCTCCTCTTTTAAACATACACACAAAAACAAGAATTTTACTTGCTCAAACATATATTTTAGGCGGAATAGTTAAAAATATTAGACGAAAATTTGAAATTAAGACAGGATAATAATACTAATAAGTGGAAGAAGAAGAAAATAACTAATAACAAACAAATAATAGTAATAATAATACAGCTTAGATATTAGAAATGTAAGAACCTATAAAAACTTACCTTTTAAAACTTTAGAGAAAAATAGAATTATAATTATGCGCTATTCCCCACCGATTAGAGTCTTTTGAAAAAGCTGCGGCAATATTAACTGCTATAATAAACAAAGTCCCAAAGGAAGACCCAGAATTTATATATGCGAATATCGAACTTTGTAGAGCTAAGCGTTTATAAGCCGAATAAAAAAAACAATTGAAATAAATATGGTAATCATTAGATTAGTAAAACGAAAAAGAAGATGAAGACGAAGATGATGAAGAAGAAGAATAATAAAAAAATGAATTCTAATTTGATTATAAAACAGATAGTTTAAATACTATTATGTAGTTTTTCGATAACAATAAAGATAAAATAGAAGAAAATCAAAAACATATGAAAAATTATTTTTATTATCTGTCTAAATTCTCATATGAGATTGTTGAAAACATAGGATCTTTAGAAAGTAGAAAAGCCTTTGAATATTTAACTAAATTTCAACATTATTAATATGTCTAGTTTTTAATTTAATCACTAAAAACCTCCATGAAAGGAGTTCATAAATTCGTCACTTTCCCAAGACTTTTAAACCACACATACAAAAATTCAAACTATTAAGATGAGAACATAAAAAAATAACTATAATAAATGAAAATATATGATATTATTAATAAATAAGAATCATTTTAAGATATTTTATAAAAAACAATACCTAATATGTCATCTCATATACTATTATAAAACTCACTTGATAAAAGATTTATTTATGCTTCAATTTTTATTACTGGAAAAGACAGAAATTTCGAGTGTAAAATTTTCAGGAAAAGCATGGAACTAGAAGACTAAATTCTTCTCTAAAATTTAACTAACAAATTTAATCTTATTAAATAAACACTAGTAAAAACTCCCATAATTAATGACAAAGACTACGAAGACTTAGTTTCTTAATAAGAGATTGAATATATACAAGTAGTTTAATAATTAGAAAATTTCTTTTCTTTTTTCACCAGTTAAATAGATGATATAATCAATAAGCCACCCCCAGAAAACTTAATTTAAGAAGAACCTGCTTAATAAAAAGGTGTTAAGAAAGAAGCTCCTAAGAAAGAAAATAAAGCTCCTGCTGCCAAAAAAGGAGGAAATAAAGATGATGGAACAATTCTTTTATATGAAAGTCCCTTGTAAGGTTCTCTAGGTGGGATTTAATCTCTTACATTTTTGCTTGATTTAGATTATTTTGGACTTCCTTTACATACATTTAATGTATTTAAATAAATACCAGCAGTATCTCGAGATTTTTCTTTATATTTACTATCCAGAAGATATAAATCAATAAATTTTCAGCCATAATTATCTAACAGTTAAGGAATTTAACGCGATAAATTAAAATATATACAATATTCATTCAAAAAAGACGAAAACGAGAATCCTTTATAAAAAAATGATATCGAGCAACTTCTTTTAGAAAAATAAAAAAACAATCCCTAATCAAACTTAAAATGGGAAGGCGCATCTTCAAATAATCGAATAGCATCTATTGGAGAATACTAAAAATATTTCAATTAAGGAAGTTTATTATTAATATATGGAAATGCTCCAATTTTAAATGTACTTTCTCCTAAATTACTTATTGAAAGTGTTGAAATTTCAAATATTAAATCAGTTATAGTCTTAGATAAAATAAATGTAAGAAAAAATTTGATTGAAAAAACTTCCTCTTTAGATTCTGAAGGCGAAAAAACACCACTTTTAGAATAATTAATTAAATTTAACTCACTTATGACTTTACTTGGGGTTTCTTCGGTACTTTGTAATTAATGGGCGGTCGAAAGTAAATATATGCCAGTGGCTGTTGATTCGTTTGTTTAATAACTTTAAGATGAAATTTATTTTGGGGCTTGTTTAGGTAAATTTAAAGAGCCATAAGTTGTTTTAGTTGATAAAGATGGGAAAGAAGTCAGTGCTTAGAAAAAAGAAGAAGGAGTTAGAGAAAATAAAAAAGGAAAACCGATTACTCCACCAATTTAATAAGAATAATTATAAGAAATTCTAATTCATAAAAAAAAATTAGTTACTGATAATCTTATTTTTATTGGAGTGCCGGTAATTAGACTAGCTTGAGATAATTTTTATCGAAAAATTATATTTTTTTTATTTTTTTTTATATTTCTTTTTTTCTTCCCTTTTTTTTTTCGTTTTTATTATTGAAAAAAAATAAATTAATTATGTGTAATTTATTTATCTTTTTAATTATAATTTCATAAATAAATATATATATAAATAAAAATTTAATAAAAAAAATTAAGATAAAAATATCAAAATGATAACAAAATATAAAAAAAAAACATTCTAAAATAATAATTAAATTAAATAAAAAATGCTTAATCATATCCATTATACTGCATTCTATTAATAATGATAAGGATTAGATAATACTTAAGTTTAACTTAAAGGAACAAACCCTTATTAAACATATTATACTTGATGTTGATTATTATCATGATGGATATCAGGAGATAAATTTTAGCCTAAAACAAAAGATTGTGCATCTGCAGGTAAATGATAAATTTAACAACCAGAATTAAGGTTCCTTTTCTCAACATGATTTTCATTAAAATTATTAACAGACATAGGTAAATTCTATATATCCCCTAATACATGTTATCCATATTAATATTATAAAGGTACTTATTATTAAAAAATAACAGGCTCTTATTACTAAAAAACTTAGTTTTCTTATTATAATATGTGGGAAGGTAGCTATTTTTAAATAGTTATAGGTTATTATTATAAATGAACTGTAGATATTTATTTTTATATAACTGGTTGTTATTATTATATAGTAGAATTTTACTGTTATTTCAAAATTACAGGATCATATTTAAAAACTTAAGATTACTATTATAAATTTTATTACTAAAAAATTTCATGTTCCTATTTTAAATTATGTTATTATGGCAATTAAACATATTTTTATTATATTGGAGATTAAAATAATGGAATTTATTATTATACTTATGCTATTTATTATTATATTTATATTGGATTTTCTTATAAAAGAATAGAATTATTTTATTCTTATAAAATAAAAGGCTATTTTTAAGATTATATTAAAGGAACTTATTCCTTTAATATAACAGATGGTTTTTGTTAAAGAATATTAGATTAATTTTATTAAAGAATCGGAGATTATTAAACTTATAGAATATTACTACGAATTGTTTTTTAAAGTGGTTATGGCTATACTATAGATTAACCTAAAACTTAAGTAGATTAAAGATTATGTACTTAACTATTTATTGGAAGTGTATTATTTTATGAAAAGATTTGAAGTTGTTATTATTATTATTTTTATTAATATTAATATTATTATTATTATTATTATTATTATTATTATTATTATTATTATTATTATTATTATTATTATTATTGTTATTACTATATTTGTTATTATATTTATTATTATTATATTTATTATTATATTTGTTATTATTATGTATTTGAATTGAGATTCATTATTAATTATTCATTTTACATTTTTAGTCTTTGATTTTCAACAGCAAGATCATAATTATTTTTTTCAAGATTGTTCTCATTAAATAGATATTATACATTAGCTTTAATTTTACTTTCGCTTTTATAAGGAAGCGAAGGTTACACAAGAAGTACAAATTCTTAAATACATATTTGTTTGTTTCCAAGATAAGGCTTTTCTTTTTTGATTCTATTCAATAAATAGATAAAATCACTTTCATTTAAAATATATCCTCCTGTAAAAATCATAAAATTATTTAATTATTAGCAATCAATATATTATTTTTAATTTTAATCTATTTATTTAAATACCTTTACAGCATCAAATCCTTCATTAGCTAATTTTACTTTGTAATTTTCATTAATTCTCAGAACATCCAATTCGTGTAAAAAAATACTAGCAAGACTAAATAAACACATTTCTGAAATTTGAGGAATATTTTCTTATTATACATTTTATTATTGTTAATGTTAAAAAATTTAATTCCTTCTTCTAATACTGGATGGATTTATATTCAAAATTTTCAAAAACGTATCATAGTCTAATAAATTAGATACTTAATTATATCTTTATATTATTGCCTATGATTCATATTAGGATATTTTCTCATTATATAAATTATAAAAATACTATAATGATTCATATCGTATATCTCCGTTTAAGTCATTCATTTAAATTTGAGGGTTATTCAAACGTTTTAATGCCTAAAATGAAGTTTCAGGATTAAAATCGCTCTGGTTTTTTAAGTTATGTTGGTGTTGTTCAATTTGTTTGCAAACACATACTTCGTTTATGAGAATATCAAATAATATTTATGTATGATTTTATTACATTTTTTTTTAGATTTCTTTTGTATTTTTTTTAGATTTCTTTTAATTTTTTTTTGAATTAAAAATATTATATTTAAGTTATTTTTTTATTCTCTTTATAAAATATTAATAATAAATAATTTATTTATACATATTTATATATATATATATATATATATATATATATATATATATATATATATATATATATATATATATTATATTTTTATATTATTCTTCTATATTTTAAATATAAAATAAAAATTTGATTAATTTAATAATTATTTATAACATAGTTATTAAATAAAAAAATAATAAAAATATTTTATATTTTCAAAGAATTCCAAAGAATTTTTTTAATTTATCTTTAATAAACAGCCATTCATCTTTACTTACATCATCTCTATAATGTTCTTTCAAAGCATCAATAGAATCTCTTGTGACCTAAAAATAAAATTAAATAAAATAGAATAATAATTAAATAAATAATAATTTACAATAGAAACAAGTTCATTCTTTTATTCAAAATGCCTACCAGCCATAATATTATCAGGTCCTTTGATTCTAATAGCCACACTTCCAGTTTCTTTTCTAGCTTCTTTTACTGTTTTTTTATTACTTTCTATAGTTTCGACAGTTCCTAACTTAAGTTTTTTATCATCATAAACACAAATAGGAGTACCAGGTTTAAGTACGCCTCTTTCAACGTCTACACCCATAATAATAGGAGCTTATTTATTGAAGAAAGCAACAATCTATAAAAAAAAAAATAAAAAAAAAAAATTAGATAATATACTTTAAGTTAACAAGGGAAAACAGCTAATTTTCCAATTTCTTATTTTCTTTCTTCTATACATTCTTTTTAATATTTAGTATAATAATCGAACAAATGATAAATAATATTCGCCGTAAACACCTTAACTCCATTATCTTCAGCATATTTTTACGCATCTGGCAACACTTTAACATCAAATACTAACATACAAGCATATTCTTTTTTTCTTCTTGCTGGTTCTTCTGCCAAAACCGATTTCAAAGCTTTCATTATATCGTCTTTGCTTACAGGCCCTACTGAAACATAAGAAACGGGAATTTTCGAATTGTCTAAGAAATTTAAAAGTGCTTCCAAAGACCCAAGAGTAGAAGCAGCTACGCCAACCCCTTATTCAGATAATTTAACTTTATTTTTAACCTAATGGAGATCATTCATGACTAAGTCCATGGCATCTTCTTCATCTTCATGCGTATTTGCTAAATATAATTAAGAACCCGCGACTGCGTTTTCGAGATCAGGTGCACTTATTTTAATGCCCATAGCCGCATGTATTACTTCATGGTGTTAATATTCACCTTTTACACGCATTTCTTTCATTGGATGTGGCGTCAAAAGTGCTCTTATTTTAGTTTTTATAGGACCAGTGAAACCTAATAATACTATTTTATCATCTTATCTTATAGTACCATCTATTAAAATAGCATCTATAGTATAACCTAGACCGTCTATTTTTTTAACTTCCATGACTGTGCAATTAAATTCTTCTTCTTTTACCACCATTTTAGACTTCATATATTAACTTGTATATTTTATTATTACTGATAATAAATCAGGAATACCTTCTCCTGTTACACCTGATGTAGGAACTATTGGAAAATAAGTTTTAGGATCTGGATTTTCCCAATAAAGCATTGCATTTATTGAATTTTCTGCTAATTATGTAATAATCTATTATTATTTAAAAAAATAAAATAATGTGTAAATTAAATAATTATTTTACTTATTAATAACGATTTTAGAAATCAGCTTTAGTTTCTTTAGGTTGATTTTCAAGAGAAACATAAGAAGATTCGAATTCTTCTTTAGCCCAATTATAACATCTATCGATTTTATTTAAAGCAATAACAAACGGAGTTTTTCTCATTCTCAAAAGATTTAAAGATTCTATAGTTTATGGTTCCAAACCATGCATAAGATCAATAACCAAAATAGCAAAATCGCATAGAGAAGAACCTCTATTTCTTAGATTAGAGAAACTCTCATGCCCAGGAGTATCTATTACAAGTAAACCTGGTGCTTTGAGTTCCACAGGATAAAATGCTTCGGTTTTTTTGCATTCTCTTTTTACATTTTCGCCAGGGAAAAATGTAGCGCCAATTTATTATGTAATACCGCCAGCTTCACCAGCTTAAACCTTAATTAAATATAAAAAATTTTAAAAAAAATGAAAAAAAATTACATTAGTATTTCTAAGTTTATCTAAAAGTGTAGTTTTTCCTGTATCTACATGCCCTAAAATACAAACAATTGGCGAACGCTAAATAGGCACTTTTTCCTTACCTTTTTTCTTTCCTAATTAAGCATTTATAATAGCCTCTCTTTGAGCTGCATATTTGGCTTTTTTTTCAGCCTATTTAGCTTCTTCGATTTCCTTTTTGGAAATTTTAACATTTTTATTATTTTCTTCATATTCGTCTTGTTTTTCTTTATCATTATTTTATTAATTATTTTGATTTTCTAATTCTTTCACCATATCATCATCAACCAACATTTCCCAATTATCAACTTCAAATTCTTGAATTTATTTAACATTTTAAATATTATTATTATTTTCATTTTCATTCTTATCTTCTTCCCTGATAAGATTTCCGAAAATATCCCTTTAAAGTTTCTTTTTTTGTGTATTTTTAACATCTCCTCCTTCCTTTAATTACTCTTTTATTTTCTCGATTTAAATTCCTTATTCTTTTTTGAATTATTCTATTCTAATTCTTTCCTACTCTGCATATTTAAGCTTTTTCTTAGAAACATAAGTTCCTTCTAATTTCGCTTATTCTTTTAGTCTTTTTTTTTCATCTTTTTTTTTCTTTTTTTCTTCTTCTTGTTTACTTATTTCTAATTACCTCATTCTTTCCTCTTCTTCTTCTTATCTTTTTTATTCATCTTCAAGTTTTTATTGTTCTAATTTCTCTTCTTCAATTTTTTTTAATCTCTCTGCAGCCAATTAAGCTGCTTTATTTAAAGGTTTTTTTCCTTTTGCTCCTGCTGTGGTTGGCTTTTCCTCTTATTGGGTAGATCCAATTTCTTTTTTTTATTTTTATTTTTATTTTTTTAATTGATTTTTTGTCAGTTTTTTTTCTCCTCCTTCTCCTTGTTATAGTTCATCATCAGATTCTTATGAATCTTCATCTTTTTCTTTATTTCTTTCTTATACGGTTTCTTTTTTTATTTATTCGGATTCTTTTTTATTTAAAGTAGTTTATTCATTTTTTTCTTATGGTTTTTCTTCAGTTGTTTTTTATTGTTGAATTGCAGAAAGTAAAAATTCAAGATCTTCATCTTTTTTTTTATTATCTTTTTTATTTTTTCCTTTCTTAGTATTTTCTTTTTTCTTCTTTTCCTCTTCTTCTTTTTTTTTCTTCTCTTCTTCTTCTTTTCTTTTATTCTCTTCTTCTTATTATATATTCTCGTTTTAGTCACTTTCCGATTCTGAAGAAGAACTTTCTGATTCTGACTCTTTTCCGATTGCGAATAAATTTTATTTCTAGTTCTAATTTTTGGATGGAATTATAGGAACTGCTTTTTTAGGTTATTATATTAATTAAGATTTTGGCACTTATTATTATATAGGACCCTTCTTTAAATTTTTTCCTGTAGTTTTTTATTATTAGCCTTTTTTTTCAATAAATTCATCATCATAATCATCCTAATCTTCTTTTAATCTTAATCTTTTTCTACTTTTTCTAAAAAATTTCTTCTTATTATTATTTTTTAGGGAAGTCTTGCTTTTATTCCTATTATTTTTTAGGAGCTTATTTTTAACCCTTTTTTTTTGAAAAATCTTCTTCTTCTTCATCTTCTTCTTATTTCTTTAATTAATCTTTTTATTTCTTCTTTATTTATTCATCATCTTCCTCTTCATCGGAATCGTCGTGTTTTTTCTTTTTTTAAACTAATTATTTTTATTAAAATTTATTTTTTTAATCTTTTTTTTAAGCTTATCCTTCTTATTGATCCTCATCTGATTCATCATTATGTTTTTTTTTAATAGTTTATTTTTTCTTTTATTATTTTTTTTAATTGTCATCATCTTCAGAATCATCATCCTATTATTTTTTCTTCATTTGTTATTTTTAACCTGCTTTTTTCTTTTAATCTTATTCTTCTTCTGAATCATCATCCTATTATTTTTTCTTAGTTTATTATTTTTAACCTATTTTTTTCTTTAAATCTTTTTCTTCTTCTGAATCATCATCCTATTATTTTTTCTTAGCTTATTATTTCTAACCTGCTTTTTTCTTTTAATCTTTTTCTTCTTCAGAATCATCATTCTATTATTTTTTCTTAGTTTATTATTTTTAACCTGCTTTTTTTTTTAAATCCTTTTCTTCTTCAGAATCATCATCCTATATTTTTTTCTTCATTTGTTATTTTTAACCTGCTTTTTTCTTTTAATCTTATTCGTCCTCTGAATCATCATCCTATTATTTTTTTTTAGCTTATTATTTTTAACCTGCTTTTTTTTTTAAATCCTTTTCTTCTTCAGAATCATCATCCTATTATTTTTTCTTCGCTTGTTATTTTTAACCTGCTTTTTTCTTTTAATCTTCTTCATTATCAGAACTATCTTATTATTTTTTCTTTCCTTTTTATACAGTTTTTTTCTTTTAATTCTCTTCTTCAGAATCATCATCTTGTTTTTTTTTCTTCTCGATTTATTTTTAGGTTGGTTTTTTCTTTTAATCTTCCTCATCTTCAGAATTATAATCTTAATTTTTTTTTTATCTATTTAAATTTTGCTATTATTTTTTCTTTTAATCCTCTTCATTATCAGATTAATCACTTTATTATTTTTTCTTTACTTATTATTTTTGAGCTAGTTTTTTTTTTTAGTCTTCTTCAATTTCTGAATCAACTTCTTATTTTTTATTTGATTATGGTTTTTATAATTTCTTTTTATTATCCTCTTCAATATTATCATTTTACTTCTATTATTGCTTTTTTAGTTATTCTTATGCTTCTTCTTCTTCTTCAAATTCGTCTCTTTTTTTACCTCCTTATGATTATTTTTTTGCTTTTGGCGGCATTTTTTTATATCAAAGTTATTTTAAAAAATCCTTTTTTTTATTCTGGATGATATTTTTTTTATAAAATATTATTTTTTATAATTTTATTTATTTTAATAATTTGTTTTTCTCTTTATCCTTAATTTATTTTTATACTATTTTCATTTTCTATTTTTTATCTATTTTTTTTGCTTATTAGAATTTTCATATAAAATATTTTTATTAAAAGAATATATTATATCCATAATATAATAAATTTAAATTATAATAATTCTTACTATTTAGTTATTATTTTTTAGTTTTTTTATATTTTTAATTAAATTTTTATAATTATATGCTGTTTAAACTATATTATTAAACGAAAAATTTTATTTTATAAAAGTATTAAAAAAAAATTTAGAATAATTATAAAATGTAATAAAAATAATTATTTATTTGTATTTTTGTTAAAAAATTAAAAATTGCTCATTTTTAATTTAATATAAAAAATTATCATTTATAATGAACAAAAAAATATTTTATTTTATAATAAAAAAAAAAATTATAAATATAATATAAAATATTATGAGAAAATCTATATAAAATCAAAATTATAAACGCAATTTTTAATAATATATAAATTATAAATTATTATTTATGAAAATAAATATTACATATATTTTAATAAAGTATTTTTTTTACTACATTAAATATTTTTAAAATTTGAAATTTACAAAAAAACAAAATCAAAAAAGAAATTATAATATAATAAAAAAATAATATATAATATATTTAAAAAGAATATCTGAGAAAAAGAATCAAATAAAATAAATTCTTAATATGGAAAGACAAAGTTTAAATTATTAAATATATTAAAGAAATTATAAAAGTTAAAATAATTTTTTAAATGATATATAATATAATCAAAACATAAATAATCAAATATAAAATTAAACACCTACATAAAGCAACAAAAGGCGTTAAACTAATTAATTTAGATATTTATCACTTTCACAAGCAAAAGTAGATTAAGAAATCATTGTATGTGATTAAAAAATTAATAATAAACAAAATATTTAAAAATATTAAGAAAACAACAATTTTTTGGTAAATGTTGAAAATAAAGAATAATAAAACAATTATAATAATAATAATAATAATAATAATAATAATAATAATAATAATAATAATAATAATTGTAATAATAATACTAATAATATTTTAATTAAAAAATAGTTTTTTAAAGATGATAACATTTTTTTAGAAAATCAAAAATAAATAAACATGTTATAAAACAGTTAAATTGAAAATTGCTAAAAATCTCAATTAAATTTTTCAACTATAAATCTAAATGAATTAAGAAACAATATTAAATAAAATAAAAAAGATGAAAGTAATAATTTATAAAATCAAGTTAAAGTTTTAGAAAATATTAAAAATATCAATTAAATTAAAAAGAAAAGATTAAGCTTTTAAGAGCCTATTAATTATTAAGAAAATCAAGATTCTTTAATTTAATATAAGCATAAAAATTTGCTTGAAGAAACAGGATTTTTCTAAACTAATGAAAATAAAATAAAAATCAAATAAATTTTAGATAAAAACTCAAGCTCTTAAATCATTTAAGATAAAAGTACATAAATTAGCGAAAAAAAATAAACTGATGATTAATAAAAACCATAATTAGAAATAAGTTTTTAAAAACAACAATAAAATACTGAAGAAAAAATAATATCGACTGCAGTTAAATAAGAAAACCATATTAATAATCTTCAAAAAGAAATAGATAGTCTACATAAAATGTGTTAAGGAAATTAAGAAAACGAAAAATTATTAACTAAAAAAATTATTGAATAAATTCTTTGCCCTGTTTTTGGAAAATAACTATTATAGGATGCTTTAAAAGAAGGTAGACTTTTTTATTTTCATTATTAAATATGTAATTATTTTTTTAGATAAACGTAAAAAACAAACTAAATAAAATAACTTTAAAAAATAAATATAAACTTTATCTAAAAAATAATAAATAAATGAATCTTGTTCAGAATAAGAAGATAATTAACTATAAGACAAATAAGAAAAAACTAATAAAGATATTAAAAAAACCAAAAGATATTAAAAGTTAAAAAAATGAAGTTTATTAGAAGAAGAAAAAAATAATTAATGAAAAAAAAAGATTAATATAATTATTAATTAAATATTAAAAATAATAATAATAATAATAAATAAAATAAGAAACTAATAAAAAAATATATATTTTTTATATAAATGTAATTTATAAAAATTATAATTATAATTTTAATTTAATTTGAGGCGCAAAATTTTAATCTAAAAAATGTTACAAAATATTTTTTTTAATTAAAAGCTTTAATATTAAAATAGCTTAAAATTAACTTATTTTAAATAAAATTAAATTAATAAAACACATTTTATAATATTAGAAACATTTTTTATTTTTTATACATATGAATATATGAAAATTATTTTTTTATATAAAAGTCAAAATTACTTCAAATAAATTTAATTTTTTTTTTTTTTATAAAATATTAATCATTATGTAATTTTATATTATAATAAATAGAAAGTATCAAAACTTAAATTATAAAGTTCAAAATTTTAAAATAAATCATCCTTGTTTTATTCTATTTATTAAATTTTTTAATAAATATAAATAATGTATAAATATATTATAAATACATAATTCATTAGCTAAAAAATTTACTATTTCTTAATAATATATTTTATATTGATTTTGTATGAGTTTTTTTCAATAACCTTTTTCAAGTATTAATTATTATTCTAAAAATAATGTATTTTTTACTAAATTTTAAATAATTTTTTCATACTTCATTTTATTTATTAGATTCTTCAAATATATTTGAAACGATTTTGTTTGTGAAACATTCTATGAATAAGTCTGAAGCCCACTGATTATTTAACTTTATTTATTTTATTAATTATATAAATAATAATAAATATTTATAAAATTAAAAAATATATATATATATATATATATATATATTTATATTATACAAATTATTCTTTAAAGAAATTCATAAATTTATTTGTTAAAGTTTCTTTTGTTGCTATCTCTTATTAATTTTTAAAATATTTATCAAATAAATAAGATTCTATAGTAATTTATGGAGGCATAGCTTATACTGATATTATAATTAGAATTAAAATATTTAATAAATATTTCATTTTTTTTATTTTTATTTTTTTAAATAATCAATTAATTAAATAAAAAATTAGAAATAATTATAAATCTTTTAAAAATAATTGATTATTTTAAATATTACCCTCTAAATAAATAAATAGCAATTAGTAAATAAATATTTTTTTTAAAAATTTATAGTTTTCTAATTATTAATAATTATAATATAAATTATTCTTATTTTTATAATGATTCATTGCTTTACTCAATCAATATTTTTTTATATATTTTATTTAAAATGTATTATTGTAAACATAAATTTAAAAAAAAAAATTAATAATTTACTTTTAAATATCATATATAAAAATAAATAGAAAGAATAAATTAATAAATTTAAAAGAAAAATTCGATGTTTCTCGCTTAAATTTAGTTCAAATTAGAGCATAAAAATTATAGTCATAGTGATTTAAAATAAAATAAAATTTGGATTGAAGTTTATATGAAAGAATTTTTTTTTTTTTTTTGCTTATTTGAATACTAAAATCTATCAAAATTTCCAATCACACCATAAAATAAAAGTATAAAAAACTATCTATTATTGACAATATTGTTTTTAAATTTATAAAGAAAATAATAATAATAAAAAATACATATTAAATTTTAAAAAAATAAAAAAAATAATTTTTAAATATAATTATTTTTTAAAACACATAATAATCCTTTTATATAAATAGAAATTAAATTATTAAATAAAATTATTTATTCTTTATAAATATAATTAAAATACTATTTATTTATATTATATATTATGTATAAAAATTTTAAAAGTTTATTTTATAAAATATTTTTAGTTTTTAACTAAAAAATATATATTAAATTTTTACTAAAATTTATAATACAAAAAGAAAGAAGCAAATATATTATAAAAATGAATTAAAAAAAGTTTACATAATAATAATTACATTAATATTAAAGAAAATATTTTAAATCATAAAATACTTTTGGAATGTTGATTACAGAAGATAATTTATCACAAGATGATTCTGAATATGATATTTAAGAAGATCTGAATTCCTAATATAATAACAATATAATATATTCTGAAATATCAAGAGATAACTAAGACTTTATGTTTTTATGGAATTAGTTTATTATAGATTAAATGTAATAGGCAAATGTCAATAAAAAAACTACTTATTAATAATTGAATTAATATAATATGAATGGTTAATTTTTCAATAATTCTAAATTCATTTAGATCTTATGGCTTTTTATAAATAAAAATTAGGAATAGCTTATAAGTTAATTTAGATACTAATTAATAAATCATATTTTTACACTTATGAATTATTATTTAGTAACTCCAAATTAACTAGTTTAGATTTTAATTTATTTAGATTAAGAAAATATCAATTAAACATAAAAAAAATGAATAGTATTATATTAATTGTTTTTTTTGAAAAATCCAATTTATATAAACAAAATAGAATTAAATATATAATATTTAAAAAATAATATAATAAATTAATTAAATATATTATAGCTAACATATATTTTTTATTCTAAAATATTTTGTATTTATTAAAACGAATTATTTAATATAATTTAAAAGGTATGAACCACTAACTTTTTATATAAATCCCATTGTAAAATTCATATAACTAATTTAATAGACATTCTACTATTTATTATAAAAAATATTATATTTTATTAAATAATTAATTTGTTTTTAGGAAGATATGTTTTTTTTTAAATTAAAAAAAAAATAATGAAAAGTGATTAAATTTTCATAAATATATTTTTATTGTTTCTGTAATTTTTTATTTTAAATTTAGTCTGCCAAAAAAAAAGGCTTTTTTCCATTTTTTCTCTCCTTATTTTTTTTAATTGAGATTATAATATAAAATTACAGAAAAAAAATAAAATAAAATAATAATATCAAAAAATAATAATAAATATTAAGAAGAATATGATCTTAAAATACAAGATTATATAACTATTTAAATGAAATAAAAAACATATATATAATACCTGATTATAATTTATAAAGTCTTTATTTAAAAGATTTTTTATTAATATTGAAATAGATAATTATTATAACTATTTTTTTTTTATTTATAACTTTTCTCATCAATAAATATATTATTTAAATTATTTTAAAAAAAAATTATATAAATTATCTTTATATATAATTAATATTTATAAAGTTTAAATAATTAATATATGTGAATTAAAATAATCTCGTTTAAAGATATAAATTATTTTATAAATATAAAATAAATATCTTTGTGTTTTTAAAGGACTTTTTAAAAATAAAATAAGCAATTTAAAATATGATAATAAAATAACATATTAATTTAATTTATTTGCAAAATAAAAGAATTTTTAAACTTTTTTAAAAAATAAATGTTTTTAAATATGAATAATACAATTAAAAAATTATATAAAGAAGTATAATTGTAATCCAAAATATAATAATTCTGAATTTATTGCTTATAGAATAAAATATATATAATTTTAAAAAATATATATATATACATAATATTATGATTAATTATTAATTTTAATATATAAATTACATAATAAGTAAATAATATACATAATCGAAAAAATAAACATTTAGAATATCGAATTTAGATTAATTCTTTAGAAAAAAGTACAATTAAATTTAAATTTTATAAAATATTTATTTCTTAAAAAAAAGTAATAAAAATAGAAAGAACTAAATATTTAATAAATAAAAATTAATTTTATATTTTTTATTTATTAATAAAAGGCCTAAATAAATATATATACTAACATATATATAAATAATTTTTTTTTTAAATAATTATAATATTTTTTATTCATATTTATAACAAAGATTAAGCAATATAATCAAAAGAAGGTGCATTATTTGCTCCTTCTCCTATAATAGTAACTGTAGGTCTAGAATTAGCAATCATATTTTTAACTACTCTGTTAATATCTTATCCAGTTACGTTTTCAATTATTTAATTAATTTCATTTAATTTTATTTATTTAAAATTCAATATCTTATAATTTAATAAAATAAAATTATTAATAATAATTTTTTTTTTTTTACATGTTTTGTAACTTCTTCTAATCTATCTTATTATCTTTCTAAAGATAAAGAAATAAGAGATTTTAGAATATTTTTAGATCTTTAAACTTCTATATCATTTATAGGTTAAGTGAGTAATTTTATTTCATTAATGCAACTATTTAATAATTATTTTTCCTTTTTTTTTTTTAGATAAATAAATTATTAAAAATAAGTACTTTTTTATTATTTTACATTTTGTGGAAATCCGGAAACTTTAAGAGCAAATAAACCTCCATCAGTAAAAATATTTGATATACTATCAGCTCCTTGAATATAATAAAATTTATTTAAAAGATTTTTAGTTGTTCTACAATGCATTCCTTTTCCTGGTCCTCCAGTTGAAAAATAACTAGAATTTCCCAATAGAACTAATAAAACTTATATTACAGCAACATCTTAATGATTCCAGTTAATCTATGATTTTTTTATTTTTTTTTAAGTATGAATAATTAAAAATAAGTAATTTAAATATATTTGATTTTAATAAAATATATTTTTAATTTTTCGAATAATTTTATATTTTATTTTTAATTTACGCTTTTAAATCCTATTCCTACTTAAAATTATCCATTACCGGCATCTTAATTAATTCTTAAATCATTACCGACATAAACAGTTTTATTTTTATTTTCAGTAAATTTTCTTTACAAAACTTTTTTTTTAAAAAAAAAAAATTGAAGTTTAAATAAAAAATAATATAAATAAACTATATCTTTTCATAAATATATAAATTAAGTACATTCAGGATATTTTCTTAACTTTTCTTAAACTAAATCTACAAAATCTTTATGAGAAGGAACATTAGCAGCTGAAAAATAACTCTTTAAGGAGTAATATATTATTCTTAAAATTTAATAAAATCTTATTCTTTCATTTATGTATTTATATCAAAAAAGCCTACACTATTTCCTCCGAATGCAGCCTTTAGAATTTATTCTTCAAAAATAATTTAATTTTTTTATTCTTCTAAAATATCAGGCTTAATGAAAATAAAAATTATATTAGTTTACTTAAAAAACAAAACAAAAAATATAAAAAAAACCTTAAATATAGAAAAGTCCTTTGTTTAGATAGATGTTTTTAACATTAAATCAAACATTTATTCAATATCACTTTCTACACAAGAACATTTAAAATAAGTAGTTTCATGATCAGAAGACATAACTAAACCTCCTCCATTTTATTGATTTAATTCGCTTATTTCATTATATATAAAAAAAGCTATAATTTTTTTTTTTACTAATTTTCTAAAGCATTTTCACTCATAAAATGAAGATGATTTAACATTTTTATTGCTCCTCCTGTTTATGTTTCTTCATTTCTTGTTCCTACTTATACTAGTAAACCTATTTTTTTATATTTTTGCATTTTTTATATATCTTTTTATTTTTTATACCTATATCACTATGAAATGGAAAACCACCATTTTCGGTTAATATTTATATTCCATTATCTAATTTAGTTAATTAATATGATAAATTTTGGTCTTTCTTAAATATTGGACTAAACCCCTTTAAATTGTTTTTATTTCGATTATTTTTGGTTTTTATTTTTTACAGGAAAAGGTTTACAGGGATCATATTTAGTAACAGTTGAAAAATACTTTTTATTTAAAAAATAATAAATTAATTTGGATATTTAAGTATTTTTATGGAAATTTAAATATGTATATTTGAGAATTTAAATTTACTTTTTTGAGGCTTTTCATTAAAACTTATTTTAATTCTTTTTAATAATTCTAAAAATTTAAAGATATTTGTATAAAAATAAATCAAATATACTTATAAAATTTGTATTCTTAATTCTTTTTACAAATATAATTATAATATTAATCTAATAAATAAAGTTATTTATTAAAATAAACAAAAATATTTAAAAAACTATAAAATATAAAATCTATATATATTTTTATAATTTTTTTTAACTCTACAAAAAAAAAAAAGTTCAAACAATAAATATTTTTAATCAATAATTCTATAAATAAAATATTAAAAACAAAATTCATTATTTATATCATACCTTTTTTTAATAATAATATTTAGGATCATATGGATCTTTTTCATTTTATTCATCAATATCAAGTTACATTCTTTTTTTCTCTTATTCTTCTAATTTATCTCTTAAATCTTTATACTAAGCAGCATTCATATCTTATTCTTTTTCATAGATATAAATACTAATAGGATGATCTTTTCCAAACCCAGCAACAGCAATCATATGAAAAGTATTATTCCAACTAACATCAGAAACAACACCATCAATATTATATTCTAATTAATCAAGTTCAAATTTCATTCCTTCAATATCCCATAAATGAGGTTTACCATCTTCAGATCCAGTAAAAAACCATGCTTTATCAGGTGAAATGCAAGAATGAACAGGAAATTTAGAAGAAAATGCACCAATAAATTTAGTTTTAATAATATGACCATTTTATGTAATTTGTACATTTCTTATGCAATTATTTCTACTATGAACAATTAAATAATTTTTTTTTTCTATAAAATGTATTTTATTTATTGGATCTCCTATTAATTATGGATCATGTATAATTCTTATTTTTCTTATATGTCTAGGCTCATCTATTATTGTCTTTTTTTAAAAAAAATAAAAATAAAGCTATTTTTTATAATTTATTACCGTAACTGCAAATATATGTATAAGTCCTAAAGAATCTCCGATAAACATTTAAGCTTAAGAATCGAATTCTATAGAATTGGGATGTCTATGTTCTAACAAATTATCAAATTAATCAAATTAATTATCTTTTTCACTTATTAATATTTTCCATCTGCATTCTTTTTATTTTTTTTAAAAAAGTGTATATATATAAAAATAAAAAATTATTAATATAATAAAGCAAAATAATTACACATATTATTTTAATTTAAAGATTCTTAATGGAACTACCATATACGAATATAAGAATCAAAACATCCAGTAACTAAAATAATACGATTACCTTCTTTTCTTAAAGGATAAAATTTCGTACAATAAACATATGAAGAATGTACCAAATTAGCAACTTAAAAATATTCTTCACTTTCATCTTCATCAATAAATTCATCTGTTTCTAAAAAAAAAATAAAAAAAAAAAAAAAGCGCATATACATATATATTTTTTTAATATTTACAATTATGAGTTGGGACTTTCCATAATTTATTTGTAAAATCAGAAGATGCAGTAGACAAAATAGAAAAATCTCTATTGATAGTTATCCAATCCATATCATGAATTAAGTTAGCATGACCTCTATATTAATATATAAGATTAAAAGAATCATCCACATCAAAAAATTTAATACATGTTTCACTTTAAATGTTCGTACAAGAAGCTGCTAATATTTTACCATTAGGACTAAAACATAATCTCAAGCATCCTAAATCACCTGATATAAATTTAGTCATTAATTTAGTCGGGATTTCACAAGCTTTATTTGGTTCTCTCATTCTTTTACCTTTTTTTTTTCATTTTCAGTAATATCTTCTTCTTAATCGCGTATTTCTTCTTTAAATTTGCTTTTTATAAACCTTGACGATTAAAATTTATTATCATTTTCTATTTCGAAAATATTATAACTTTATGTCTATACGATTTTCTCCATAGGTTTTACAATAGGATTTAATTAAATTGCTAAATAAGCATCATATTAAACTTTATTAGGCCAAATAAAATCAAAATAAACGAAAGGAATATATTATTTTCTTTATTTAGGAGGTAATTTTTGTGAATTAAATCTATATTTATATAATTAAATTTTGGAAAATCCCATATGATTTTTAGCCAAACCAATAGGACGTAAATACCCCCAAGCTATTTTATAATAAAAATCCTAATCTAAATTACTAAAATCTTTTAAATGTAACTACTTTGGATTAAAGTCTAATATTTCAAATAAAATTATAACTTCTTCTCTTAAAATACTCTCGCAGTCATCATTTACATATATAGCTTTTATATATATATATTATTATATATATTATATTTTTTATTTACTTTCATTCCATCTAACTTTAGCCCCACCTTCTTCTCTTAAATCAACACAACTAGTAGAAAAAGGTATAATAAAATCACATTCTGCAGCATTATATTCTTTATTTATGTCATCAAATATTGTTATTGTTTCATAATGAGAAAGACAATTTCGATCTTTTCTTGATTTCTTAATATATGTTCCAGTCTTAATATAAACTATATGAATTCTTACAAACGGATGTATTACATTTGGATCTAATTCTAAATTAGACATTTCAAGTATTTTCAATTGTAATACTTTTTCTTATAATAATTTTTTATCATCAGCAGATAACACATTAATACCTTTATCTTTTTCAATAATATCTACAGATGTTAATTCCTGTTTAAATATGGTTCGAAATGATTAGTATAATTAAGAAATTAATGGATAACATGAAGTATACATTTTATCCTGTAAAAATTCAGAATGAATTAATGTTGATAGATAAGGTGGAGGAGGTTTTAAATTGTTATGTTTTTATGGTAACAAATGGCTTTAAATGGGTTTATTTTAAATATTTGAAATATCATTCATTACTAATTATAAATATATAATTATGTATATATATATATATTAATTTATTTATTTATTTATATATATATTTATTTATATATATTAAAATTTATATTTTTTAAATTTACTATATATTTAATTAATTTTTTACTTTATTATATTTTTAAATATTAAATTTTTATTATTTTTTTCATATTTAAATTTTATTTTATTTTTAATAAATTATTATATACATTCTTTTATTTTTTTTTATTATTTTTTCTTTATTATAAACTTCATATTTTTTATTCTTATAACTTTTTATTTATTCTATATTTATATGTTAAATTTTCTCATTTTTCATTTTTTTTTTTTATAAATATAAAAAAATTATAACTTTAACTTTATTTTTTTATAAAAATTAAATATTACATTATTTAGAAGTATATAAACTAAGCAAAAAAAAATATGTAATTTATCCAATCATCTTTAAAAGATTTTATAATAATATCTAAGTTAGGTTAAGGATCATTTTCCTACGTATATTAAGTAAAAAGAAAATCTGACAACCAAATATACGCAATGAAATAAGTAAAAATGTTCTAACTGAAATTTAAAGAGCGTGAAAATGCCTTAAATGAAGTTCGGATATTAGCATCTATAAATGATTAAAATATAGTAAATTATAAAGAAGCATTTATAGATGAATAAAAATAATTATTATGTATAATTATGGAATATGCAGATTTAGGAGATTTATAAAATAAAATAAATTCTAATACAAATTCGAAATTATCGTTTCCAGAATAAGAAATATGGAAAGCTGCCATAGATTTAACAAAGGGTCTTACTATTTTACATAAAATGAGTATTTTACATAGAGATTTAAAAAGCGCAAACATATTTATTACTAAAACTCCTAAAGGAATTGTTTATAAAATAGGAGATTTAAACGTTGCTAAAATTGCAAAAAAAGACGGATTTGTATATACATAAACAGGAACTCCTTATTATGCTTCTCCAGAAGTTTGGAGAGATGAACCATATGATAATAAAAGTGACATTTGGTCTTTAGGGTGTGTTTTATATGAAATGTGCGCATTAAAACCCCCATTTATGGCAAATGATATGGAAGGATTATTTAATAAAGTTCAAATGGGACTTTATGAAAGAATCCCATAAAAATATTCAAATGATTTAAGTTGTTTTTTATCATCTCTTTTGAAAGTAAATCCGCAATAAAGACCTTCATGTGAATAAATTATGAGAAATCCTTTATTTTAAAAATATTAAAATTAATAAGAAATTACAAAATAAATTACCAATCATACTTGTTAAAAATAAGAATTGCTTTAAACTATTATTGTACCGAAAAATCTTGGATAATTAAAAGGTAAATTACCTAAGGCAAATTATATTAAATCATCTAATTAAATATAAGAAATAACATAAAAAATTAAAAAATAATAATAATAGTAATAATAATAATAATAATAATAATAATAATAATAATAATAATAATAATTATAAAGATTAGTTCCTAAAAAAAATAGATAAATTTTGTCTGCTGGTATTAGATTAAATGAATAAAATATTTATATAATTCCCATTTAAAAATAATATAATGATAAAAATATACTCTTAAATCCGAAAAGTTATAATATTAATAATAAAAACCTTTATTTACCTAAAATAATTTAAAGACCAGTGAGTGGAATAGTACCTATAGCATAACAATTAAACTGTATTAATATTTAAAAAAGGCCTGCAAGTGGTAGGCCGCCTAATAGATATTTAATTTTGAATAATCCATATAAATTAATAGCTGAAAAACATGATTTTAAAAAATAAACTATTAATAAAGAAAATCTAATTCCAAAATAATCTTAATAAATAATATAACTTAAATAAATTCATAAAAATTATTCTGATAAATAAAATATAGGAAGTAGACATCCTATTAGAATTTAATCTAGTAATGTTTTTCATAATAAAATTTGATTAAAATTTAAAATAAAGTACCAATAGTTAATAATATACTTATAAATAATAAAAGAGTCTCAGGAAAAGTATGAAAACATACTTATGTAAAATAATAATAAAGAGAAACTATAAAAAATTGTTTATAATTTAGAAATGTATTATTTAAATTAAATGAAGAAAATACTTTTATAATTATTTATATATATATATATATATATATATATATATATAATAATTAAAAAAATTGTCAAAATATTTTATGATTTGTATCTTTATATATAAAATGTTAACTTAATGAAAAAAATAATATATAATTTACAATTATAAATTATATTTAATATTTCTACTTATATATTTATAAATTAAAGTTTAATAAAACATAAATACTTATTTATTATAATTTAAAAAATAAACCATAGAATTTTATATATATAAAATTTAATATTAGAAAAATAATTAATATAAATTCTAAATATGTTATGAAATAAATATAATAAAATCATTTTTCAATATTTTTAACTTAAAAATTATGGAAAGAATAAACGCATCTAAAAAGTAAACAAAATCCCGAAACTAAACTAGCTGTAGAAAATACATTAGCAATAGTAGCAATAACACTGAAAGGTTAATATCTTTCCTCGGTATCACTAAATGAGAAAATAATCATACAAGCAATACTTATAGTTGACCCCACAATTACTAGTAAAATAAGAAGCGCAGTATATAATCCACGATGTACTTAATTGATAATGGTTTACCCGACATACAAAGCAAGTATAAAAACACTTAATTAAGTAATAAAACGACTATCTCCGTAAAAAGAAAGGAAACCACAAATTATTAAAATACTTATAAAAACAATACTTACTTAAAAGACATGATTACTATATTTATTTTTAATAAATAAATATTTTGATTTTTTTTACTTTTTTATTTCTTCTTGTTTTTATTAATCGAAATTTTAAGCAAAATAATCTTCAGCTTATTTGATTCCTCCTTTTAACTTTTTTTCAGCTTTTTATGCTTCAGTTAAATTTTGTTCTCCTTCCATTTAATCTATATCAAAATTAGGATTATCTAACTAAATCGTTTATTAAGACTATTAAGATTTCTCTTTAATACTTGATATTTATTTAAGTTCTTCTTCTTTTTCAATAACTTTTTAAATTGCCTAATTTTGTAAAGGTCTTTCAGACAAATCATCACCGAAATAAATATACTAGAAACTTATATATATATATATTACAAAAAAAAATTACTAAAATTTCTTAAATTAACTCATCTTCTAAATTAAGTTCAATTTAATGATTATTTTCATTAATAATTAACTAGAAAATTTATTTCAAACAAATAGAATGAAATTCGCTAAAATCTCTATTATTCTTTAAAGAAAAAAACTCAAAATTTCCTCCCAAAAACCAAACCCCTAAATTCTCATCATATAACTAATTACCCTAACTAGGCTCACAATTTGCATATTTCCCATAACAACTTTCCCAAATCCAACACAACGCTTCCTCTTCTGACTTTCTAACACAATTCTTTTGTTAAAACAATTTTATTTTCTTCATTAAAAGACGCACAAATGATTAAATCTTACCATTAAATGGCTTTTTAAATAATCTCCATTTTTTCTTCAATTAACTAAACTTATGAAATCCCATAAGAATTTAATTATTCTACTAGTTTTTTTACTAAATAATCTTCTTTATTACCTATAATACCTATTTTACATTAAGGAGTTTTTCCACAGCTTCCAAAAACAGATATTGGTAAAATATTCATATGATAAAAACATTCTAAAACGGCTCTACTTTATGTCAGACTTTTCTATACATTGCTCATACTTATTTTTTGCAATCTCAAAGAACTATAAGAAGGTATATCGTATATATTTAAATGTATTAAATTATCATTTTTTAACAACTTTTGAACTTATTATTATTTATTAGAAAAAGGACAAATTAATAATTCTAAATTCCTACTCAACATATCAATTTACTAATCTTTAATAGCAGAAGCAAATACTATAATATTAGCTTTCGTGCAAATTTCTTAACAACTAGTTATTTTAGCGCCTGTATTTATATATTATTCATTTGTAAATCCACAACACAAACCTGCATCTTATTCAACCCATACATGAATGCCTTTTCTATATATATAATATAAATAAATATACAATTAAAAAAAAAAAGGAAACCTTATAAATTCTAATATATGCTAAGGAACAATAGCCACTTTTTTATCTTCAGCAAGAACCCCCAATATTTTTTTACACCTTTGAATTTCAACTTAAAGTTATTAATTATCAATAATTTCTTAATTCTAATAATTTGCCTTTAACAATTACTATTCAATATCTAAATTATAGTTTCCTACTTTTTAAATCTCCTCCAAACTTTCAATAAGGTTAACTTTCGTATCTCCTTTTAACAAAAAAACATTTCTTAATCCAAAAATTCGATTTTTTTCATTTTCTTCTCCTTCTATTTCCACAATAATTACTTTTTTACATTTCCAAACCTAACACAAAAATTCGTTTCTTTCGTTATTTTAAGGATTTATTTCATTTGCGCATCCAATAGAAACACCTAAATCGAAATCTTCGAAAACAACATCTTTAAAATCCAATAAATCTTCATGATAGATTCCCAAAGATCCTAAAATACTAAAAGTTTATCCAGGAATTCTCCCAAACCCAGGATGAATACAAAACTTAATATTTTTACTTAATTTCTATTTACAAATAATCGCTATTTCGCAAATATTTTTTACGCAATTTCCGCACTAAAAAGCACCATTTCCAACTAAAAACACAATTTTTTTCCCATTAAAATTTCTTAAGTAAGATCCGATTATTTTATTTCCTAACAATTAAATCTTTCTAATAATGCTTCATTTTCTCCATCTCCTCCTTCCGAATTTTATTATTTATTTTTACCTTTTTTCATAAAAAGGATTCCTAAAACACTCTATCCTTCAATTTCAGTCCCCACGGAAGCAACTTTATATCCTCCAGTAATACACAAAGCCCCCACAATCATCAAGAAATCTCTTTAAAGTAGAAACCCTACAAAAGCAACAGTAAAACCTATCATAACAGTTTAAAAAGGAATAATAACATTCATTTCATATTCTGAACTTTAGCTAACAAAATCCCATCCTATATATAAAGAAAGCACTACAATAATATACAAACACCACCCAAAATTAAAGAAAACATATAAAGTAGAGAAAAGACTAATTAAAAAAGCAATAGTTATCCTAAAAATATTTCTTATTTTACTTCCTGAATAATTTTCTATCTTAATTTTTTACTTACTTGTTACTATTTTTATATAACTTGCTATTGTACATGAAAAAAGGGTAGATCCGAATATACAAACTAAAATTGCCTATATTTATAATGAATAACTTAATTATATATTAAATTTTTAATTCTTATCTTAGTCTGCAAATGCTATCAAAAAACAAGATATCCCAATAAAAGACTAAAGAAAACATAAATTAGGTGCTATTTATGATAACTTTGACTTTTTTAAAAAAATAATAATAATTATATAATATATATTTTTTATCATACCAAAAAACCTATTAATAGACCTATTATGCCTCCAGTTAAAAATGAAATTAAAAATCTCAAAGAATCAAGCAAATCCCAAGTACTTTAAAAAAATGTACTTATAATAGCTATTATTATTGCTCCTAAAGCTAGCCAGGGCGCTCTTTTGCAAGTTTCAAATTATCTTAAAGATGACATGGAAAGTATAAACAATATATTCGATGCTAAATATGATGCAGCTTAAAACGTAGATATTTCTTATTGTTTTTTTATTATTTCAGGATTTGTTTATTTTTTTCTTAGTCTTTTTAATCTATTTATTGCTTAAAATATTAATAAACAAAATCAGATTCTTATTATAATCCATTATATGCTATTGATAATTTTTACTTTAATAATTCGTAATATGAATTTATTTTTGTATAATATTGTGAAAAAGGTTAGTTTTGAATTTTTTAAGGAATTTCTTAAAAAATTTGTAATTTTTATCTTATGTTTTTATTTAATTCTAAAATCATTTATTATTTTAAGTGGTCTTTTTATTTACCTTATTTTTTTTATTTTTAATTGATAATAAAGTCTTTTTTTCTAATAATTGATATTAAAAAATTCTTTGTAGTTGTTTTTTTTTTTTTTAAAAAACGGAAAATATTTAATCTAAAACGTATTATATTATTTAATTGCTTTATTGTGTTTTAATGCAATTTTATTATTTCAATTAATAATTAGAATATTATCAATTAGTAGATTGATATCTAAATAAAAATATGATTGAAAAATATAAATTTAATTTATTTTTATATAATTTGTATTATAATTAATATTATACTTAATAAATAATTAAAATAAAATCAATTTTTTTAATAAACAGAATATAAGGAAATTTAATAAATAAATTTAAAATAAAATAAATTATTAATTCAAAATAAAAAATAAATTAAATATTTATATTTATAAATAAAAAATAAATGAATTTATTTATTATAATTTAAATAATATATTTTTTTTTCTGTAATTATTATTTTGAAAAACACAATCATAAAAAAATGCCATAATTTATCGCATTTTTTAATCTATTGATTTTTAAAAATAAATAAAAATAAAAATGTAATAGTAATAATTAATATATCATGCAAAAGTTATTAATATATGCATTTTATATAAAATGCTTTTTTTTTATGCATTAAGAAATAATTCTTAAACATATTAAGAATAATATATTTATTTATTTTAAATTAAAATGAAAATTCAAAATAATTATTTTTAAAATTAAGTTTTAAATTATATATTAGTAAATAATTAATATATATTTTTTAAATAAAAAATATATATTTAAATATCTTTCAATTTTTTCTTTAAAGTTAAAATATTTTTTATATTATTATTGTTTTGAAGTTAATAATATTTTTTATGTATATTTTTTTTTGAAAGACTTAAATATAATCAAATTTAATAAATTATAAATATTAATTATATTATACTTTATTTATATTTATATTTATATTTATATTTATATAAATTTATCTTTTATTTATTTAATTTTAAAAATATATTTATATTTATATAAAATTTATCTTTTATTTATTTTTATTTTAAAAATATATTTATATTTAAAATAAACATATTAAAAAAATTATAATATATTCAACTATATAAAAAAAAAAAAAAAAATTTAAAATAATATAATAAATAATATAAAATAAAATAAAGTAAGTTTGGAATATATAATAAAGAAAAATAAAAAATAAACATAAAATATTTTAAAATTTTAAAATATCATAATAATAAAATATTAATGTTAAAATTAATAATAAAATAAATATATATTATAATATTAATAATATTATAAAAGATAAAAATAATAAAAAAAATAATATTAATAAATATTATAAATAATAATAATAATAATAATAATAATAATAATAATAATAATAATAATAATAATTATATTAATAACAAGTTTAAATCTATTTTTTTTTTTTAACTTTTATTATATTTTTTTTTTTATTTTTTTAATTATATTCAAATTATTTTTATTTAAATTATAAAGATAATAATTTAATTTATATTTTTTGAATAGGTTAATATAAATAAAAGCAATTAGATATTTATTATTTTATTGATATATTTTTTTCGATTTCTTAATTTTTACTTTATTTATTATTTAATATTATTTTTTTTATTTTAAATAATTATTATATATTAATAAATATAGAAATTTCTATTTTACATATTAATAAAAATATTATTTTAATTTAAATCTTCTCGTTATATATTTATATTATATTCAACATTGTTTTTATATATATAAATGTAAATTTTTATAAAAATTAATTTATTATATTAAAATAAATATATTATTAATTTGAAATATAAACAATAAATTTTATGATATTATTAAAAAAAATAAAAAATAGCAAATAATAAATATATTTACAATAAAAGCTTATGAAATAAATCAACAATATTGAAAATATTATTTAATTTAACTAAATTTAACTCTAAAATTTATTATAGACATAATAACTTATATCATAGTTTCATGAATAATAAAAGATAACATAATTATAATTACTCATACAATACTCTAGCTTACATAGTTTTTATGACTATATTTACTAAAATATATAACAATAAAAATATATATAATTGAATAACACGACCTAATCAAATATACCTATAGAGATAAAAATAGAAAGTGAAACAAAAACTAATTCAACTTAAGAGGAAATCTAGTAGTCATAAAATACTAAAATATGTAAATATAGAGATATATAAATTAATAAAAATTTAATAATTATTGATACAAATTAGCTAAATTAAATAGATTTATAAAAAAATTTATAAATTATTAATAATAATTAGAAAGAAGTTAAAAATTAAATTTAATTAAATATTAATTAATAAAATATATATATTTAAAATTAATTTTAATAATTAAAAAAAAATTGTTCATATGATAACTTTTCTTAAAATTTAAATTCAAGAGATTAAAAATAAAAAAAAAAAATTAGAAATGACACTAATTATCATAAAAATTTACTAAAAGGATTCAAAAGTTATATGTAAAAAGTATATGATAATGATAAATAATATTTTAATTCTTTCTCAGAATACTTTTAAAACTTAAAATTAAATAATGAACTTATAATTAACTTGTTATCTACATCTCAGTATAAATAATAGTTTGAATAATTCCTTTAAGAAGATCCTTTATGGTGGATTAAAAAAGCTAATATTATTGATGTTAATAAGTAATTGAAATTTTTTGAAATTGTAAAGGGTAAAAACTATATATTGATTAAAAATAAAAGAAAGCTTTTATAAATACTTTCATAATGAAATTAAAAATAAAAAAATGTGTTTAATTAATATTATTATTTTCAATTCAATAAAAGAAAATTAAATAAATATATAATTAATATTTTATTTTATAAATTTTTATATATAATTAAAATTATATATAAAAATATATATATTTTATTATTATTTATTTTTTAATTTTTATTCTTATTCTAAATTAAATTATAACTAAATCTAATTTTAATAAATATTCAAAAAAACCTTTTTTAATTATTTATATATATAAAAAATTTACATTTTTTATAATGTTATTAAATTTGTAATTTATATTTAATTTTTATTATTTTTAATTAATTCAATACAAATACCTTATTTTTTAATAAATTTAAAATTCTATTTAAATATAAAATTTTATTTATTAATCAAATAATTATAGTAAATTGAATTGCTAAAAATAACAAATGCATATATTAAAAACAAAATTTATAAAAAAACTATTTTTAAAATTATATAATTTTTTTTTATAGAAATAAAATAAATAATCTTTTATTTCTAAAATAATCAATTTGTATTTTTTAATTTCCAAATATTATTATTATTGGAAATATATAATTTATGGATTAATAAATTAATATTTTTTCTTGATTAAAAACGACAGATTTGTTTGCTCTTTAATTAATTAAAAAAAAACAATAAATGCATATATAAAAAAAATATATTCAAATTATATTATATTTTAAATATGAACACAATAAAAACCATTAATTTAAAATATTAAATATAAAGAAATCAATCAAATTATAAATCATAAAAAAAATAATAGAATTAAAAATACAGATTAAATAAAAAAAATAAGTAAAAAAACTTAGATCGTTTAAAAAAAATGGGAAAACACGAAATAAACTAAACATCATTAAAAGAATAATAGAAATTTATGACTTTACTTGTAATAATAGAGATATTTTGCATAATATTCCATTCAGTTTGCGGCCAATATAAAACTAATGACTTCTAAAGTTATAAATATCCATAATGGTAAGATGTAAACGTCATGATATTTGTTGGCTTTGGATTTTTAATGACATTTCTACGCCGATATAATTTCGGAGCTGTAGCTTATACATTTTTAATAGGAGCAATTTCATTCCAATTATATCCTATATGGGAATTATTTTTCGAAAGAATATGGGATTCAGATCATGAGTTTAAAATAAATATGAATGTTTCTCTGTTAATTTTAAGTTCTTTTTGTTCTGGATCTATATTAATTGCTTATGGAGCTATAATAGGAAAAGTAACTCCCTTCTAATTACTTATAATGACTTTAGTACAAACTATAGGCTATACATTAAATGAAAGAATTGGTTTAAATATGGGAATTGCAGATATTGGAGGTTCTATGGTTATTCATACTTTTGGAGCTTTTTTCGGACTTGTAGTTTCTAAAATTGTTACTCCTAATAAGGCTTTTACTCATGCTAAAGCTGAATCAAATTATGTTTCTGATATTACTGCTTTTTTAGGGGCAATTTTCTTATCGAAGTTATTACGCCATCTTTTAATGGAGCGATGGCTGCTTAGGATTCAAGCCATTAAAACAGAGCTTTCATTAATACTGTATTATCATTAAGTGGTTCTACTTTTGCGACTTTTCTTACTTCAGCAGCACTTAGAAGTAATAATAAAAAATTTAACATGATAGATATATAAAATGCTACTTTGGCTGGAGGTGTTGCTATGGTATAAAAAAAAAATATTTATTTTATTTTATTTTTAAAAAAAAGGGTACATGTGCTGATATGCATATCTTACCGATATGGGCTATATCCATAGGATTTTTTTCTGGATTGGTTTCAACTTTTGGATTTAATAAACTATAAAGTTTTTTGGAAGAAAAAATTAAATTACACGATAGTTGTGGAGTTCTTAATTTACATGCCCTTCCGGGATTTTTAGGTGGTATTTTTGGCAGTATTGCAGCTTCTTAAGCTTAAAATATGGGAGATTCATCAAAATTAATAAGTGAAGTTTTTTCAAAAAGCTTAGATGATGATTGGAATGCATAAAAATAAGCTAAATTATAAATCGCTTATTTATTTATTACTTTAATATTATGTATTATTTTTGGATTTATAACTGGCTTATTAATGAAACTTTTAGGACATTCTCCTACTTTATTATATGATGATGGTGAATTTTTCCATATTCCAAATATTTAATATGAAGATTTGGCGTATATTATGGAAAAAGTAAAAGAGACTCACACTTTAGAAACTTAGTAAATATAAACTAAAACGAGTTAAAATTATTAGCTTTAAAATTTACAATGTAATTAAAATCCTGAATAATAACCTATTGATACTTGACTCGAATCTCCTGAGTTTTCGATTTTAAATAAAATATATATATTATTAAATATTCATATTGTTTTTATTATATTTACTAATAATTTATTTTATTATTTTTTTAAAAAAAATAACTATCAAAATTATAATAAAATTTTTAAATTAATAAAAAAAAAATCAATGGATCCTTAGTTAGGATTAATTATAAAAAAATTAGGTAGGACATTTGAAGATATAAAAGATGTAAAAGATGAAAGGCAAAAATTAGAATAAAAAATAGAACTTTTAAAATAAGAAAAATAAAAAGTATAAGAAACATAAAAAGATTAAAAAGAATAAGAATAAAAATTACAAAATGATGAAAAATAATAACTTTTAAACATAATTGAATTTCAAAAAAAATAAATGGAAGAAAAATAATAATAACTAATTAATATTTCAGATTAAATGAATGATGTAATTAAAGAAAACAATGAATATTAAGAGAAAGAAAAACTTTTAAAAAATAGTCATTTAGATTTATAAACATCTGTTGCAAAATTATAATTAAATTAAGGAGAAACAGATCAGTAAATATAAAAAGAAACCAAAAATTATCAATTAAATTAATAGAAATGCAATTAATAAAAATAGTTAATATAAAATATAACCAAAAAATTAGATTTCAAAATTTTTGAAGACTATAAATTAAAAAAAGATTAAGTAAAAAAGTTATAAGAAAACCTTAAGTAATAAATAATTAAATTAGAAGAACACATAAAATTAAATAATAAATTAAATTAATCAATAAATGCTATTGTATATGAAATTAAATAAATATAAGAGAAAATATAATAAAATTAAAATGAAATTTTATAATTACAGGAATCTTTATTAAAAAATAATTAAATTTTATAATAATTAAATTGAATTTTTTAAATTTCTATTTTTTTTGATTAATAAGAATTATTAATTTATATTTTTGTCAATAATATAGTATTAAATAAATCTTTATATTTTATATATTAATTTTTTATTTTTTTAATTAAACTATTTCTATTTAATAATTCGCTAATATAAATAAATAGAAGATTAAACGATTTGTAATTAAAAAAATAATTTATATATTTTTTTTATATCAGTTATTAATAAATAAAAATTAATTAAATATAAGAATAAGATAAATTTATTTAATAAAAATAATTACAAAAAAAATTTATTATAGAAAAATTAAATTTAAAATGTTAAAAAAATATAAAAATTATTAAGATTTATATTTATATATTTATTTTATGTGAAAAAAAAATTCTTTTAAATTATAATATAATAAAAAAATTAAAATTTTTATTTATTTAAATTATGAAAATAAATTTATTTTGTAAAAAAAAAAAAAAAAATATAAAAAAAATAATCATTTAAATATATATAAATAAATTATAAATTAATTTTTTTTAAATACTAAGACATTATATAAATAAGGTTTATAATAATTATAATAAATATAATTTAATATAATATAATAAAATATAAAAAAAAAAAATTATATTATTTAATGAGTTATATATAAAATAAATATGTATATATATATATATAAATATTAATATAGAAATATTTATATATTTCTAATTATATATATTTTTATAGTTATAATTAAATTTTTAATTATTTATCAAAATTTATATATACATTAATATATGTTCATTTTTAAAAATATAAATAAATATATTTATATATATATATATATATATATATATATATATATATATAATTATATTTAATTATATTTTTCTTTTTCTAAATATTAATTTCTGGAATTCTTATGGAATTTAAATTTATAAAATTACTATTTATATTTGTTTACATTTATTTATATAAAGCAATTACATTTTTTTTCAATAAATAATCATATTTTTATAACATCAATAATTTTCTCACATAAAATTATAATTAATTAATATATAATTATAGAATTATAAGAATAAAAAAAATATGAATATGGATACTTATCCTTCAAATATTAAAGAAAGTAAAAAAATAATCAATAAAAACAAATAAATAAATAATAAATAAATAAGGTGATGCTTTATAAAATATTCTAATTGATACCGTTAATTTTCACCCCGAAAATATCTCGCCAACTAAAAAAGCTATTAAAATAACGAATCCTTTAGAACTTACATGGGAAAATTTAAATATATTTGCATATGTTAATCATAAAGTAAAGGCTGATAACGGAAAACTAACCAAAGTTAATGAAAAAAAATAAATTTTAAAAGACCTTAGTGGATCAATAAAACCTGGTAATTTTACAGCAATTCTCGGGCCTTCAGGTAAAAAAAAAAAAAATTAAAAATGATTAAAATTAAAAAAAAGGTTCCGGAAAAACAACATTATTGAATTTTTTATCTGGACGTTTAGTCGCTAATAATATGGAAATTGAAGGTTCTTTATATTTAAATGGTTAAAAAATTGACGATATGGGAAACTATTCAAATTAAATAGCTTATGTAATGCAAGACGATATTTTATTAGCAACATTTACTCCCTATGAAGCATTTAAATTCAGTGCCGACATGCGTTTAAAAGATATATCAGAAGATGAAAAAATATAAAAAGTGAAATCATTGATAAAACTCCTAGGCTTAGAAAAATGTAAAGACACAAAAGTCGGAAATGCCATTATCAGAGGTATATCAGGAGGAGAGCGTAAAAGAACATCAATTGGTGTCGAATTGTTAACTAATCCTTCCATTTTATTTTTAGATGAACCCACAACAGGTTTAGATTCCATAACATCATTAAATGTGATAGAATTGTTAAAAAAATTAAGTCATATTGGAGTTAACGTAATATCCACAATCCATTAACCTTCATCTGAAATATTCGTAATTTTCGAAAGACTAATACTGATTTGTGAAGGAAAAATTATTTATTAAGGAATAGCTAATTAAGCTGTTGAATATTTCAACCAATAGAATTTAAAATGTCCCGATTTTTCGAACCCAGCGGATTATTTCATGAAAATTATGAATGAGGAAGGTTTAATTATAGAATATTTACAAAAAGGTAATTTGGAAATTTCAGATGAATAAATAAATAAAGAATTCAAATAAAGATTAGAAAAAATGGTAACAATATATAAATAATCTGATTAAATAAAAGACCTTAAATCAACTTATAATTAAGTCCCTACTAAAAACGATAACAGATTCAATGTAAGTGTAATAAAATAATTTTCCCTTCTTTTCAAAAGATGTTTCATTACATAAGTAAGAAACCCAATGGATCTTCTTCTTAAAACCATATAAATTATTGTTTTTTCCATAGCTACTATTATAGTATTTAATCCTCTTGGAGATGGATAGGCTGGTATTCAAAATAGAAACGGAGCTTTATTTTTTATTTCTACAATGTCTGCTTTTTCTTCTATTTAAGGATCAATTTCTACTTTTTAATAAGACAGAGGACTATTCTTGAGAGAAAGATTAAATAAAAGTTATACTGTGGGTGCTTATTTCTGGGGAAAAAGCTTATCTGAATTACCTTTTCATATATATTATCCTATTATTTAGGTCGCAATGACTTATTATGCTATTGGACTTAATAATAATGATGCAAAATATTTCTTTATCCTCGCAGCTGCTATGATATGTACTTATTTCTACGGTGTATCATATGGATTATTTATTTCTGTTATTGTACCAAAAATGGAAATCGCTATGGCTCTTATTCCTATATTAGTTATTCCTTTTATGGTTTTGGGAGGTTTATATGTAAATACTAATAATATTCCCGATTTCCTTAAATGGATTGAATATTTATCTATGTTTAAATATGGATATTAAGCTGCAGCTTTAAATGAATTTGATAATCTTAATTTTGAGTGCATTAATCCTATTACTCAATAATAATGCAATCCAAAAGATTAGTTGGGATTTAGAGAAAGTATAGCCGAAAACTTTTATGCTTTAATTGGATTAGGATTATGTTTTAGACTTCTTGCTTATATATTTATGCATATTATTTCTTAACCTAAAAGACCTAAACTAAATTAAAAATTAAAATAATGATTTTTTTATAAACTAATTAATAAATAATTTTTAATTTAAAATTAATAAAAATATATTTATTATATAAATTTTAATTTATAAATTGTTTATTTTTTGTCATTTTATTTTTATAAGTTTTATCATTTTTTTAATATTTTTTTTTTAAATATATATTATTAAATAGAAATTATTTTTATATAGCATAGATATTTAAATTGATTATTTTTAATATATTACTATTATTTTAAATAAAATATTATTGTTAATATTTACTAATTATTATTCGAACATTAATTTTAAATTACGTTTGATTTTTTTAAATATATAAACATTATTTTCATTTCTAAACTAAAATTAATTATTAAATAGAAAAATTAAAAATGAGCGTATTAAGTGATAATTTAAGCCTAAATAACACTTATAGAACTAATATAAACTCAAACGAAGAAGAAGATGAAAAGAAAAGTATTCTAAATCAAACTAAATTGTAAGCAAAGAAAATAACTTTTAAGATTTTTCATTAAATAAAGAAGAAGATATGTATATAACATCAAGATTTGATACTGATTTCATAAATAACGCAATGATAGAAGGTTTAACAAATAATCTATAAGAAGAAGAAATAATCAATAAAAAATTTAGAAATACGAATAATATTAAAAAAAAAGAAGAATAAGAATAATTAAGATAATAAAATTATTTGCTTATTAAATAAAATCAAATGCTTTAATTTTAATTAAACGAACAAAAAAAAATGTTTTAATAAAAATATGATTAAAAATTGAAAGAAATCGAACTATTAAATAAAAAAACGAATTTATTATTATAATAGTAAAAAGAGAAATATGATAATAAAATAAATAATTATAAAGAATAAATAAAAATGTATCAAATAAACATAAATAATATTAGATAATCTTAAATTAGAAAAGTCACTGATTTTAAATAAAAAAATATACATTAAAATCTTAAATATTCTAGCTAAAATTATAATAATATAAGTGAAAGTTTTGCTAATGAAAATTCTGAAAGTGATTAATATGAAACAAAATCTAAAAATTAAAAAAAAATTAATAATCTCTTTGTATTAGAATAATAATTATAATAGTAATAATAATAGTTTTAATTAAAATAATACTAAAAATACAAGTTTAATAAGGGTTAAATAATATAAGGATTATTTCAATAATGATAATTTTAATATGAAAAATAAGAATAATCTAAGTAGCCTAGTTAAAAACTAAAGGATAGAAAGCCTAACATAAAAACATTAACAGCAAAATTATTTAAAGTTTTGATTAAAATAATATATTAAAATGTTTTATTTATCATATAAAAAATAAGCAAAAAATTTATTTTAATTTTTTTGAATGTTTTATTTATTATATTTAATATCTTTATATTTTTATATTAAGAATAATATATTTTCTTATCATTAACTTTATAAATTATAATAGAGTATTTATATATTTATTTTTTGTTTCTATTTAAGTTTTTATTTTTAGCTGTGTCAAAAAAAAATATTTTCCGCATATTTATTTTTGAAATTTTAATCAAATTAATATTTTGAAAAAAATTTAAATTTTAATACAGAAAAATATATAAAAAAATGCAAAATAGGGCTTAATAAAATATAAAATATATTATTGAAAATGATGTTTAATTAATTAAAAAACAATTTTAAGAAATACATGAATAATAAGTATAGAAACTAATAAAATTCTAAGATGAACTTTTATAAATAATACCAGAATGTATTTTAGATATGACTGTTGAATAATTTTTAAATTCAAATAATAATTTGAATAACTACTTTAATATAGCTTAGAAGTAAAATCTTTAAGAATTAAATAATAAAATTGAAAATTTTTAAGATAAAAATTCTAGAAATTAACTGAAGTCAGAATTCAAAAAATAAAAAGAACTAGATTTGATTCTGAAAAAAAATATAATTTATCATAAAATAAGAATAAGGAAAATATTTATTTTGAAAGCGGTTCAAAAGAAAAAATTTATAATAATAGTTCTAATAAAGAAAATAATAGCCCAATATTGAAAGCTAAAAATAAATGGAAAATATGAATAAAAATAAAAATAAAAATATCTATTTATATTTTACAAAAAACAATTAAATATGTTATAAAAATTTATTTATTCTTAACAAAAATAAAATAATTGTGTTTTATAAATATAAGAAAAAAAAATATATGTAAACAATAAAATTTGATTTAAAGCAAATTAAAAATAGTATAAAAATAATATAAATATATTATAAATTAATTCAAAATTATATATATAATAATTTTCTCATTTAATATAACTTTTTTAAATAAAAAATATTGAATAATCATCTCAACAATTTAATTATATCGTTTGTAATTTATTAATTTTATTAAGATTTATTTGTATTCTTGTTAAGCCATTAATGATTTATTAATTAATATAAATTCATTCTTTCATCAGGTTCTTTTACTAATATATTACTAATAAAATTTTATGCATCTTTTGAAATATAACTAGGAATATTAATTTTCGCCTAAAAAAATAATAATCATAAAATAAAAATATTTTATATATATAAATACTTCTCTAATTTACTAAAGCATTTATTCATTATTACTATAAATAAATGGAGGTTTTCCAGTTAACATTTCAAAAGTAATAACTCCTATACTCCAAATGTCAATACTAATTCCATAGTTGTTTCCACTAGCCATTTCTGGGCTTATATAATCTAAAGTACCACAAAAAGTACTTCTTTAACATTCTGGGCTATAAACACTACATCCGAAATCAGAAATTTTAATTATATCCTTTTTTTAAAGAAAAAAAATAAATGAATTGTTTAAAAGTATTATTGTACTTAGGAGATCAATATATTTTCTAATTTAATATCTCTATGTATTATATAATTTTAATGTAAATATTATACTGCTTCTAATATTTATTTTATATAAAATATCGCTGTATCTTCATCAAATCTGTTTTCTAGTTGCAATTATAAATTTTATTTCAAGTTTCCATTTGAAGCATATTCTTGGATTAAATAAACACAATTTTTGTCAAAATAAAATCCATATAATTTAGTCATATTTATATGTTTTAAAAAGAATTAGATTTTAATTTCATTCAATATATGATTTTGTACATTTAATTTAAATAATGTTGATTTTTTTATTTTTTTTAATGAAACAATCATTCCTGTATTTAAATCTCTTTAAATTGATTAATTTTTTAAATATATATATAAAATAAAATTACCTAGCCATATAAACTTCACTGAATTTTCCACTTCCTAAATGTTTACCAATCTGAAAATTATCAGATTTAAAGATATTATTTAATTAAATTTATTACTAAAAACAATTTATTGCTCTTCTTTTTTTCAAATAATCTTCTTGAATATTCATAATGCTTTCTTTTTCATTATTAATTGTTATATTTATAAAAATGTTCTTATTCAAGCTTTCACTATTAGTAATAATAGAATATTCAGAATATGATTTCTGATTTCTATTTTAATTCTAAAAAATAAAACTGCTATTGTTTTAATTTGATAAAAAACTATTTATGTTTCTTTCAGGAGATATTTAATAATTATTATAACTTTAATTTTTTTAATTTAAAAACTTATTCTAATAATTAAAATGTTCTGAAAAATTTTAAAGATAAGAATTTTTAGTATTATTAGTTTAAACAGAATTAGTTTTATTATTATAATAAACGAAACTATTTTTTTTATTAATACTATTACAATTTAGAGAAAAATTATTTTTAAGATCGTAACTGGTATTTAAAATATTAGATTGAAATTCCTAATTATCTTATTTATGTGGGATTAAATTCATACTTTTTATTTATTTCTATTATTCTAAATTAGTATTTCCTTTGTAAAGCGTTTACATTTAATATATATAATTTTGCTTTTTTTCGTGTATTTATTATTCCATTTCATCTTATAAAGAAGAAAAATAATTTATTTACTTAATATCTATATTTTTACTAAGTTAATTTTTTAAACATTAATCAATATTTTAAATTTTTACTAAGATTTATTATTAAGTTTATTTATATTATAAATTTTAAAATTTATTATCATTTATTTACTAAAGAATATTTTAAACTTTTTAATCTAAATCACTTTTTTTATTTTTTGTTTGTTGTTTTTGTGTTGTAATAGTAAAATTTTCTTATTATGGGGAACTTTTATTATCTTTTAGTTGCCTTTGTTTTATTTATTAAATTAATTCTTCAATGTCTGTTTGATTTAATACTGTTTCTTTATTTAAATTTTATGAATAATTTTTCTCCATTTTCTTTCTATTCTAAATTAATAATTTTTTTTTCTTAGTTAATTTTTCTCAATTTTTTTTTTTTTTTTGAATAAAAAATATAATAATTTATTTTTAATTGAATAATTAATTTTAAAAAAATAAAAAAAAGAGGAAATTAATAATCCTAAAAAATAAATAAAAAAATAAATAAAGAAAAAAAATAAAATATAAATTAACAAGAAAATGAAAAAAGCATTAGAAAGATTACAGTAACAATAATAAAATAAATAGATAAATAAATAATAAAAAAAAGCGATATAGTTTTCTAACCTTCAATAAGATGGTATAAATTACCCAACCCAGATGTAAGAAGAAGCAGATATCCAGCTCCAGGCTCAGAACCTATATTGGAAAGTGATCACTATATAGATTATAAAACATGCTTTAGAGACTCTATTCATAATATTCGTTATCATAAAGATATTAATCCATCAATAGCTGGATACGAATCATTATATGATCCTATTAATTAATTAGATACAGAAAAGTAAAAAATCTAATAATCAAATTAATTAAAATAAATTTAATTATTAAAAAAATAAAAATATATTCAAAATTAAAAAGATTATATATATATGGATATTTAAAAAAAGAAGATTTTAACAATTAAGAGAAAATATAGGCTGCAATATAAGAATTTGAAAAAAAAGAAAAAAGACCTGTTTCCAGTTATGGTTTATTAATTTTTTATTATAATAAATACAGATTAATAATTATTAAAAAAAAAAAAAAAAAAAGTTGTATACGATTAAAATTTTGCTGAAGATAAGCCTGTAACAAAAGGAAATAGAGAATCTGTTTAACATTTCATACGTGAATAATTTGAATTTTATAGAGAAGTAAATGCTTCTGAAAGATATACTAATGATGTGGAAACATTATATAAACCTAACTTGTGGATTTACAAACAATATGATTTAGCAGCAGATGATCCAGTATATAGATAATTAAAATTAGATATGGAGAGAGTTTTTGAAATTTAAGCTGTAATAAAAAAAAATTAATTATAAAACATATTTTACTTTTTGGCATTTTTTTTTTATAAACTTATTTAATCGAACAAAAAATAAGTAATAATTGATTTTTCATCTCATTTTTTATGTCATTGAATTTAAAATAAAATAAAATAATATTAAAAAGTAATATTTATTTTTATTTATATTTAAAAAAAGTATTAAAGATAAGAAGAAGGATATTAATAAACTTTTAAAGGCGATCCTGATTTTTGGTAAGTATTAGATAGTACTTTTGATCCTGAAAATATTCAAAAAGTTTAAATAGCGATTGGTGACAAAACTACAAATTATGGTATTTATTTATAAATATATATATTTTTATTAATTTATTATTCGGTATAATATTTTAGACACTAAGGATTTAGCATTATATCATAATAAAGAAAGATATCATGTTTAAGGAATTATTTAATATCCTATTCGCACTAATTTAATAATAGAATGATATTTTATTTTTTTAAATAATTTATATTTTATTAAAAAAATGTCAAAAAATAAAGTATTTTACATAAAAATATTTTATTTTAATTATTTTTATGTATTTTTTATTATTTTAAAAAATTAAAAGTAATAAATTTACTAAAACCATGCATTTTTTATATTTTAAACTACAGATTAAGTATAATTTATTAAAAACAAATTTAAAATAAAATAATATATATATATAATAACAAAAAATTATTTATTTTCTTCTAAATTTATTATTATAAATAATTTCTTAAAAATTTATAAAAATTTATTAAATTTATATAATATAAATATATTATAATTTTTTATTTATTTATTTTTAATAATGTTATTTTTTATTATTATTTATATTAAATATTTTACCATTATTTTTATTTTTTTATTTTTTTTAAATTTTCAAATAAAAATTCTTACATGCTATATTTAAAATACTATCTTAAAAAATTAAGAACAAGTTAATGCTATTTTTATTTTTCGATAATATAGCTATTATTATGTTTAATTTTGATTACATATGTTTTTATTATTTATTATAAAATTAAATTTATATTAATTTCATATATATTTTTTTATTCAAAAAAAATAAATAGATTTTACTTGATCCAATAGAGCAGTATAAATATACTTTTATTAATTATTTTATTTTATATATTAAAAAACAACATCTATTTTAAGCCTGAAAAGCTTAGTTGTTTTTAGTTTAGAAGCGTTTTTAACTTTTATTATAATGATAGACATTTCTATAAGAATAGCAGCAGAAAGAAAAGTATTAAAAAAAAAAATCTATTTATAATTAAATCAAAATATAAATAAGAATTATTTTAATAATATATGGAATTTATTTGATTTAATAAATTTTTTTGTAGTTGTAATTATTTTAACAATTTTTTACGTTTAAAAATTGCATGAGTATATAAAATATATAATATAAATATTAATTATTAAATACGTTTTTAAATAATATAAAGATAAGTAGATTTAGAAGAAGATATAATAGGATTATCTTTAATTGGAACTAGATATGTATCACAAGTCTTAAGATTTATAATTATGATAAAACAGTTAAAATTAAAAATTATTTAAAATATATATTTATTAAATAAAATTAAGGTCACATTAGAATAAATTAATAAATGAATTAAAATAAATATAAATACCCTAATAATATGATTAAAGTAGCCTTTATACGAATAAAAATATATATGTCAAATGAAAACATGAATAAATTATTTTAAATTTTTATTAAATATTAATATATAATATATTTAAAATGTAATGTCAGCAAAAACTGTCGTTTATTAACATTAAAAAAACAGCAAGATTTTCATAATAATTATTTTAAAAATTCAGATGCCCTAATTCTAAATACTATTTAATATGTTTTACAATGTATTTTTCGTGGATTTATAAATAAAGTTCAATATCGTACTCATGTAAAATATGCATAAGTTAAAGTATATCAAAAGGCATTAAATCATAAATATTTTTTTATTAAAGAATATTATATATGAATAAAATTAATTTATTTTTATTAGGAATAAATTATTCAAGTTATAATATAAAAAAATCATTAATTGTTTACTTACTATAATTATAATAGTCTTGGATTTTCTAACGGACATCATAGAGTATATTTTTCATAAACTTCTCGTATTCAATTCTATCATTAGTAAAGAATATATTTTACCTTAAAATCCATTAAAGTAATATATATATGTTTTTATAATTAACTATTTGTTAAGGAGATTTTTTCATATTTTTATTTTCTTATAGTTAAAAGTTGAAATCAATTATAATATTATCTATTAAATCATAATAAGTTTCTTTTTATGTCTAAAGTATTTAATTTTGACATTTAACTAATAATGAATATAATTAACTATTTTATTCAAAAGAAATATCTTATTTAGATATTTAATCTAAAATGTATTCATTTAATTTTTAATCAAACTTGTTTATAATTTTTCCATAAATACCTAAATATTCTATTTTTCCGTCAATTCGAATTTATTAATTTTCATAATAAATACCTCCTAAAATATTGCTTATAGCAAAACATACTAATTATTAAATTTAAGAATGTATATTTTTAAAATTATAATTAGTTAAAAATAAAATATTTGACTATTCAATAAATAATTTTTCTTATTATTTCATTAAATTAACTAATAGATTTAAAGCAATAGGTTTTTGAAAAGAAGCTAATGCATAAGTAACTTAAAAAAGTTACGAATCAAATTAGTTTTTAATTTAAATAATTGTTAGATTTTATTATTAAAAAACATTATAAGTAAATATATTTTAACTATATAAATTTTATATATAGAAAACATTTCTTATTTTTTATTTTAAAATAATCATATTTTATTTTTATTCTTATATATTTAAATTTTCATCATCATTCTACAAACTATGAATAAAATAAAAATATAAATTATAATTTTCATCAGTTGAGTTTTTTTTTATATTTTTTATATTTATTAATGTATCCCATCTTTTCTTTTTATATGATTTAAGTGTTTTAATCCCTATTTATATTTTTTCTTCTTATATTATCTTATGAAAATAATCTTATAAATTATTTATTTTGAAATAAGAGGTTATATTTTTAAAATTTAAGTCTCCATTCTAAATTATTACATCTTATTATAGATTTTATATGTTATTTGTTATATTATTATTATTATCATAAAAAAAACCAAATTAAAAATCTACCTCAGATGAAAAGTTTTAAAAATTATAAATATGTTTCGGATGAGAAACTCCCCATAAAAGTGAAAGTGATTATTCAAGAATTAAGAAAAAAATTATTATTTTCATATTGTTTATCAATATAATACTTTTTAATTAAAATATAAGATAAAAACATATTAAAGATATTTAATTAAAAATAAAATTAAATATGTAATTTTTATTTTATATATTTATTCATTAGTAATTTTTTAAAAAATAAAAATTGTATTTTCCACACATAATAAATATTTATTTGAAAACTCTAGTTATTATTGTATTTATTTGATTGCCAATCAATCTTAAGATTTTCATAAATATAAATTCGATCCACATCCTATTACATATTTTTTAACAAACTAAATATGCAAAATACTCATCTAAAATATAAATACCTTTAAATAATTCACTTTGTTCTATTTTCTTAATCTTACAATTACTTTGACATAAAGCTTAATCTTTCAAAGCTCTTAATATTAGCTAATTTTACTTAATCCGTTTTTTTCCAAAAATTCACATACAAACAAGAAATAAAAAAGCATCCTTTAAAATTATTTTTATATCCTTAAAAACATAAAATTATTTTAAAAAATATTTTACTTAAAAAAAAAAACTTCGATACTTTTTTAAATAAAATATCAAGTATTTCAAGAAAGATAAAATATTTGTTCATTTCACAAAAATAAATACATATTATTTATTTTTATCTAAAATGTACTTAAATATTTCATATAATATTAAAATACTATTCAAGTATCATTTTGAATAAGCAATACTTTTTGTATTGATACTATCTTAATTATATATAAATGAAATACTTTTTTACTTTTAAAAATATTATTTCCTGTTTTTATTCTTATTTTAGAAATTAAGTTTCTATATAATATAATTTCTTTAATTTATAATATTTTCTATCTAAAAATTAAGATTTTATTGCAAAATAAGTTTGTTAACAAAAAATTCCTTAACTATTTTTTTTTGTAATTATATTATTATTATTATTCATTTTTAATCTATTTATTTTTTTCAAAAAATTATAAAAAACACTATAAATTTCTAATCAAAATCTAAGTTTATAAAATTATTTTTCAAATTATATTCTCACATATAATTAGCTTGCAGTGTATTTAAAGCAGAAATGGAATGAGTATTAATTTAACTATATTTTTTTTTTTAAAATAATAATCATAATATATTATCCATCCGGATGAAAAAACCATTAATATTAAAATAAAATTATGAAAGATTACTCAATTTAATAAAGGAAATTACATATTTATATCTTCTGGATGTTAGTTTAAATTAATTAATATTTATCTTCAGAAAAATTTAATTTTAAAGACTAATGGTATATTCCAAAAAAAAGAATTATAAAAGGGGGGGAAAAAAAATCTAAACCATAATTCTGAAAAAATACCATTACCAATAACAACATTAATTTTGCATAAAATTATAGTGAAATTCAATTAATAAAATAGATTTTTTTGATAAAAAACATCTTTTATTTAAAATTATTTATATCTTGATAAAATCGAGTAAAATTCATATAAAAATTTACATTATTACAAAAATTAAAATTCCTATATAAAAATATTTTTTAATATCTTCTTGAAAATTTTGATTATTTCCTGAATTAAGCTTATGTTTTTCTATTAAAACACTTTATAAAAAAATTGTTTGAAAATATAAGACAATAGAGCTTAAATAATGTAAAAAGATCATATTTTTTCCTTTAAATATTTCAAAAATATAAACCTAATATCTAAAAATACTCCTCAAGCAAACAAAAAAAAGTAAATTATCATATACAATATAATATATTATACTCTTTTTCTATATTTTTATTTAATAAAAAATACTATTATGAAGATATTTCATTTTTTAATAAAACTTGAAATAATATATTACAACTATCTAAATTTTTAATAATATTCGATTTTAGGTGTTTCACTAAATAAATTTGTAATTTTTAATTCATTTTAATCATAATAAAAAAAATACATGAGTTTGAATTCCCTGTTATTATTAATATCATATTTAAGTATATACCCTTTAAATAGAATACCTAATTGAAATTTATTTGACGAAGAAATTATAAAAAATGTTTATAATTTTATAAGAAAATTTAATATTGGTCTTTTCAAATTATATTTTTATTCAAAATGGTATAATATAATATTTGTTTTTATTGTTATATTTTATATTCTTAAATTAAATAAAAATAAGATAATAATAGATATAAACTCATGCATTTATTTCATGTTGTAATTGATATCTTTTTTATAATAGTTATTAATATATAATATTAAATTTTAGTAAACATAATTTAATTATTTAATTAAATGAAAATATTATGAGAAAATAATAATAATAAAAACAAATAAAAAATCTATAAAAAAATATATAAAATAAAAATAAAACTTTTAACAACAATTTAAAAATAATAATATAATAGATATAAAATTAATTAGATATAAATAAATAAAATATTTTAAAACAATATATTAAAAATGAAAATTAATAAATATTTTATATTAATATAAAATTAATAATAATATATATATACATACTATTTATTTTAATTATTAATAACTTTTTTAATTTATATTTTTAAATATTATTAATATTTTTTTTTTTCTGGTATATAATTAAAAATATTGGTTTTATATTTAAAAACAAAAATTAATTCTTTAAAATTTTTACTAAATCTGATTAAAAATAAAAAAAATGTATAATATTTTTAAAAAGTTTTTGAATTTTGTATATTTCTAAATAATTATGGTGAAATTTTTTTATTTAAATAATTAAAAAGAACTAAACAGAAGATTAAAATACACCTGAATCGCCAAATTAATTAAACGAAATGAGGCCTTACGAAATAATAAATTTTTAATTACTTGATACATAAGTTTATCCAAGAGTAAGAATTTATACAGGTATTGATGAATACGAAGAATATGAATAAGAAGAAGATATTACAAATTAAAATGATTAAGAAAACTATATAATTCATAAAATAGAAGCTAAGGATGAAACATTAGAAAACTGTCTGAATAATATTAGATTCCGTAAAATATTAAAAAAAATACCTTTTTATTATTAATAATTAATAAAAAGAGTAGAAAAAATAAAAGAAATGAACGATATATAAGAAAGCAACTAATTATAAAAAAGATTAGTTATATTTTATTTTAAAATTATTTTTATAAGAAAAAAAATATAATTATATATAAAAAAATATTTATCAATTAATATTTTTATTAAGAAAGACATTAAAAATTCCTAAAAATATTGAATTAGACTATGAATAAAATTCAGAAGGATTTTCGATATGTATTTTAATCTTTTTTACATTTATATCTATTTTTTTATAATAATTTTTTTAAATAGACTAATTTTATTATTGTACTCCTTATGGAAATATTTTAGGAACATTAAAAATTGGAGAAAATACTATTTAATTTTAACCTTCTTTATCTAATAATATAAATTAATAAAACTTATCATGTAACTCAAAACTAAAAAACTAAAAATATTAAATAAATAAATCAAATAATATTTTTTTTTCTTTATTTAAAGAAAAAAAGTAATTAAAGTTTTACGCCTAAATAAATATAAAAGACATTAATGAATCTATTTGTATAATTTTACCTCCTAAAACAGATGAGATAATCGATGAAAATCAAAAAGATTATGTAATTTAAATAGGATTAAGTACAATAGAACATAAAGAAATTTAAAGAAATTACAAAGAAAGACTTTTATAATTAAAAAATGATAAATAATCTATTTGTACTTTATGTTTTAGAGTTTTTGAGAAAGACTTTTAAGGTCAAAATTTATCAAATGAAATAAAATATTTAATTGCCCAAAAAATAACTAAATATTTAACAGAGAAAATTAGCGAAGAAAATTAAGAAACTTCTTAATTGGAAAATCCCATTGAGAATATAATTCCTTTTTACGACATTTTATATGATAATCTTATCCCGAAATAAAGGAGTAATTCTTTTTAATAACAAGAAACATTATGTATTATATAAATAAAAAATATAAAATAAAATCTTATTAAAAATATAATAGAAAGATTTGAGAGTTGGAAAAAACTAGAATATAAAGCATGCTTATTAGAAAACTCATAAATAATAGAAAATAGTTAATTTTAAGAAGTATATTAGAATATTATTATTATTTTATTTAAAAATTAAAAATAAATATAGATAGTATTTTATATGCCTAATATGTTCAAGTTCACAAACTGGCGTTTATTATATTCTAATTTAAAAAATGGAACAAGCTTAAATACGTAAACAACATATTTAAAATATTTATAAAAATAAATATTTAAAATTTTTAGCTTATATAGAAATGTAGAATGTGAGTCTCCTTTTTTCTTTATAATTAAAAACTCTAAAGGAAATATTTTCGGAAGTTACGTTTCGGATGGATTACATTATAGTAATTCATTTTATGGTAATGGTGAATGCTTTTTATTTAGATTTGTTGAAAATAATTAAAATATTGAAGTGTTTAATTCAACTGACAAAAACTCTCATTATATTTACTCAGATTCAAATGGATTTGGAATCGGTTGTGGTGATAAGTATGGAATTTTTGTTTAAAAAGATTTATATACTGGATTTTCTCATTAATGTGATACTTTTGATAATGAAATATTATGTGAAGTCAATAAAAATAATTAATTTAGGATATAGAATATTGAGGTTTGCTTTTTATTTAAATAAAATTTATTTATATAATATTTATATTTAGTGTTGGGGACTAAACAATTGAAAATGATAAAATAAACATTTTAAATATATTTAAAATGTTTAATATAAAAAAACTTTAAAGAATTAATAAAATATATTATATTATAATTTAAATATATTTTATTTAATTTATTTACATGAATAAAATAAAAATATTGCTAATCATTTAATAATTTTTTATTATATTTAAATTAAATATAAATAAATATATTTTGTTTTGTTTAATTATCATAATATATTTATGAAATCTTAATTAATTATTTTACATATATACTGTAATTGTTTTAAAAAGATAAAAATTAACTTATAATTTATTTTCAATTATCTTTTCTAAAACAAAATTACAAATTTAATAATTAAAAAATATATGTCAATAAAAATTTATAAAATAAAAAAATCTTAATTTATTTTAAATATTTAATAAATAATGAAAATAAATTTTGTAATAATATACATATTAATACAATTATTATAAAAAGTAATCTCTCATAATTATAAGAATAGTTTAACCACTTTAGATTTAAATCAATAAGATTTAGCAAGAAAAACAGGTTTAGGAACAGGAAAAATTCCAAAGAACATTTGCATTTAATTTTATTCAGAATGGTGCCCAATATGCTAAAAATTCTAACCAGTATGGGAGAAAATGGCAGAATAAGTTGATAGAAAAAAAACAAAATTAATTGCAATAAACTGTGTAGAAAACGATATGTTATGTAGAGAACTTTTAAAAGTTAATAGATATCCTACAATTGTATTATTTACTAAAAAAGATTATAAACAATGCACTTTTGATGGAAAAAGGGAACCTTAATACATATTAGAATTTATAAATAATGAATGTTAATCTAAAGGAGATTTAATTTACGAAAAAGAATCTATTCCTTATGAAATTTTAGATTAGGAATATGAAGAAGGATTCGAAGATGAAATTTAGGAAGACAAAAGTCTAAAAACTTAGAATAATGAAGAAAAATAAGAAGAAAAATAAGAAGAAAAAAAAGAAGAAAAAAAGGAAGAAAAAAAGGATGATTAAATAATTTAATAAAATAACTAAAAAAAAGTTAATTTTAATAAATATAAGAAAGATTAATATGAAAATCATATTATCAATTTTAAAATTTCATTATAAAAATTAGGTCCTGTTATCATTGTTTTAATCGTTGGAATTATCATTTTTGGAGTTATATCCATTTTTAATACTTGCTGTTCAAATAATTAATGAGATGAATTCATTAGAAAAATTATTAAAATAGCTGAAAGTAGCCTTAGTAGTGTTTAAATGCCTTTATATAATTTAAACGAAATTTTTGAGATGTGAAAATATTATTTATGAAAATTTCGTATTATTATGTGTTTAGGTATGTATATTTTTTAGAAAATAATTTTATTTCTTTTTATTTTTCATAATGATATATATTTTATATTTATAATTTTATAAATTAAATTTATCTTTTAATTAATTTTAAAAAAATAGAAATTAATTTTGTCATAAAAAAAAAAATATTAAAAAAACAATATATTAATAAAATAAATTAGTATTTATTTATGAAATAAAGACTTAACATAAAAATATCTATATTATTTTATATAATATATTTTAAAAACGTATTTTTGTAAAAAATTAATTTTTTTATTCATTGAAGTTAATATAGTTGAAATTGATATCATATCATTCATTTAACCACTTTTAAACCTTGTAGTGTCTGTTTTTAACTTATTTAATCAATTTATTTTTACAAATTTAAGATATTCATTATATAAACACAAACATGAACAAGGAAAAAAAAAAATATTATAATTTTTGTCTAAAAAAACGTAACAATAATATATTATTTCTAAAATAAAAAAAAAATAAGCTTGAAAAAAAAATATAATCTAAAAAAATAAAAATTTATAAAAATAACTATGAAGGTATTAATTTTAATTCTTGTTATAATTACATATGTATAATGTGTAAGTTTGAAAAAAGCAAAATCTCATAAAAAATCATTAAAAGATCTCTAATTTTCAAAATCTTTATTATAATTAGAAGGTGGTTAAGAATTAAACTGCAGTAGAATAAATGAATTAATAATAAATGAATTATTATTATAAAGCTAAACTAAACAAATATTTGAATATTTAGATTAGGACAAAGATGGTCTGATTTCTTAATAAGAAGTTGAATCTTTTTTAGGCCTAAACTATAATTAAGATATGTTTAAGGATTTTGATTCTGACTCTAATGGATATATAAATCAAAGAGAGTTCCTTGTATTCTAAAAGAAATATTTACGACAATTAGATAATAGATTCTGTAGATAATAAAAAAGATATTAAAGTTTAAAATGTGACAATATTAATAGGCTTATCGAAAATAAAGAAGCTTTATAAGAATATACTTGGGATCTTTTAAGAACTTATGATGAAAACGGAGATGATTTAATTACTGAATAAGAATTATAACATTATTTTGGAAAATAATATAATAGTGATTTATTTAATCAAATTGATGTTAATAAGGATCTAAAAATTAATGAAGTTGAATTAAGAAAATTCCTAAAAAGCAATCTTATTAGGACTTAAAGTACATAATGTGTTTATGAAAGTTATTGATTATTTTTTTATATATTTATTCAGAGTTATAAAAATATATTTTTATTATATGCAATTTCTTTTTTTATTATTATAAATTTTTATTCTTAAAAGTTTAATTTATTCAAATGAAAAATATTTACTATATTTTAATAATTATTTTATTTTCTTTTTTTTTTAATTAAATAAATATCAAAATTTAATACATAAAAATAGAATTAATAATTAAATTAAATAATCAAATGATATTTTTAAACTGATTTTGAAGCCAAAATAGCTAAGTTTCCGAAAAATTATCATTAATTAGAAAAATCAATAAAACTACTAAATATTGAAATATCTAACGAAGCCTAATATTTAAAGCTTTAATTATTCAACAAATCCTCAATATATCATCACGACTAGAAAAACTTTGTCTACTATTCAGAAATAGCCTCATATAAGGAGTAAAAAATATAGAATGAATAAGTTTTAAATACAAAATTATATAAAAGGTTTTAAATTATAATTAATTATATGATTTATATTCTATAAGTTATATTAGATAAAAAAATAAAAAGTTAAACAAATATTGAGAATAAAAACAAAATATTACTAAAAGATAAGTTATAAAAAAAAAAATTAATAAACTTTATGAAGAAAATAATAATTATAAATGTAACAATAAAATTTATAAAAAAGTTATAAAACTAATAACAATTAATGCGAGTAATAAAATAATAATTTATTTTAAATTTTCAAACTAATTCTTTAAAGAATATATAAAAATAAATTGTAATCGATTTAAAAATTAAATATAAATTAATTATCAATAAAAAAATAAAACATAACTAAAATTTTTATTAAAAAAAAAAATATTATAATAAAAATAACAATTTAAAAATTAATTTTAGTAATGAAAATCTTGTAAATTATTATTATAAATCAATAAAATAACTATAATAATATATTTAGAATTTAAAGTAATTATAATTAAAAATAAAAAAAATAAAATAAAAACTATGTAGCAAATTATAATAAAAACTAAGTAATTAGTTGTAATTCTTTTCTAAAATTCTAAATTTAGATTTTTAAATAAAAATCTTAAAATATATAAAAAATAGGAAAAGTAAATTATAACACAAAGATTAATTATATGAAAATAAAAGAAAAAATTTTACATTTATGTTAATTATATTATTTTAAAATTTAATATAGTTTATATTACAATTAATTAATTGATAATATGAAACATAAAGTTAAAAAAAATATAAAATAAAAAAAAAATAATAAAATATGTAAAAAGTTAAATATTAAAATAATTTTTGAAATATATATATATAAAAAAAAAAAAAAAATATATATTTGAATAATAAAAGAAATCATAAAAAAAAAAAAAAAAAAAATATTTTATAAGAAAACTAAAAAATAAGAAAAATAATACTATGTGTAAATTTAATAAATTATAATAAAAATAAAAATATGATAATAATAATAAAAGTATTAAAAAAATA